CAAGTCTTGACTTGCAAAAAACGCGACGCGACTTATGTGCCACGCGACCCGACTGGTCTGTGGGCCACGCGACATACAACTAGTACCTCAGAAAAAAAAAATCAAAAAAGGGGAAAAATCATAGGATTTGAGAAAAAAGTCAAGTCAAAATATTAAACCGAAACTTAAGACTAGCTAATTTGACAATAATAACAGTTTGGCCCAGTGGACTGAATTTTCAGATTCTACTGTGGCGCTTAACGTGTCAATGTGACATTTCAATATTCGCCATCTAACAGACTAGATAAAGCTAGCCGATGCTACGTGCTATTGAGCCTGACGATTGACTTTTATTTAAATAAACAATATATACATAATATACAATAAATAGTGAACGTCTGGTACTAGTACCAAAATGGAAGAAATTAGCATAACATTTCGCACATCGCTGCTAATGCGAGATCTGCACACCGCATTTGCCGACACGAAGGGGTTAGTGACGGCGTACAATGTAATATGCTAATCTCTTCCATTTTGGTACCCGAGTACAGCAAAAATAGCCAATTCTCAAGAACTCTTTTTCTTGTTCAAACGGTTCTCTTGTGCCTTCAAGATCGCATCGGAATCGCGGATTGGCATATTTCTGCTTTTCCTGAGATCGACCAGTTCTGGGAGCAAGCAGTTCATGTAGAAAAATTTCAATTTCTCTTCCATTTCATTTTTCCAGAAAACGTCATCCCTTTGAATGACGTCTATTTTCAAACCATACGGGGTCCAAACACCAAGCACACAGTACTCTCTTTGTGCAACGTGTAGCTGCCCTTGAATTTGGTAATACCACTTATGTTTTTTATTTATTTCATCGTTTATCCAAAACGTAATTTTTTTGTTCAGACTGCCCTCTTCAGGGGTCATTTCTCTAGCCGACCATGGACATTTAATTTCTAGCAGACCTTTTTCGCCTATCAAACCATCTGGCGATGCTGCCAGAAATGGATGGGTCCTATCAATAAACAACCCGCAAGATTGTACTTCTGATTGCGAATATGATTTCTCTATTTCTGCTTTTGCCACGCTTTCATGCTTTTTTCCATAGTCACATGCCTTGCTAAAGAATTCGGTTGGGTATATTATGGCGTTTACTAGAGCTCTGCAACTTGTTGTATCTCTTCTTCTACAAACCTCACCAAACCGAGACGCAGTCAACCTCATTCTTCGATGAAGACGCCACAAATTGCAATCCTGAGATTTTGTGGCTTGCTCGATCTGGGAAATTTCGGAGTCGGTTTTTGCAAGTTTTTTCAAGAATTCCACCTTGGCAGCCTCTATATCTTCGTTGCTCATGTCAGGATTCTCACAGAATTCCCCATAGGATGCGTTCTCTTTAGTATCACTATCTTTGATTTTAATTTTCCTTGGTTCCAGGTTCCTTTTCAGATTTTTGTGCGCTCTCCTTTCTTCAACTTTAGCAATCAAAGAGGTTGGACTGAAACTAGGGAGTAGCCGCTTTTGGATCACACAAACAGGCCGCTGTGTATTGTGGCTCACTACGGCTGCAGCACATCTTCCTTGGTAGGATCTCTTCTTGCAATAATTAATCCGTTTACCCCCAATGAATTTAGCTATGATTGAGTTAAACTGCTCTACAATATTATTATCGACATCATGAAGTAAACTTACTGCATTTTTAATCAGAATTGCCAGAAATGATATCAGCCTCTGGTGCAAATCTAAAAAAATAATATGGAATAAAACAAAGTTGCTATTAAACATGCATCCAATAGGCCAACGCTGTACCTTTCGCGTAATTATCATATTGATGCATGGAAAGTACTGTGTCAATATATTTCCCATTTATAACACAACCCTACCTGTCATTTTCAGATCACTCATCGTGGTTCCATGTGCAACATATGGCTTATTGCAAAAGTAACGTATGTTTTGGCAGTCCTTATGCTCACCAAATATATGGCTAATGGAGTTTTGTATATCCTTTTTTAAGCCCTCTACTTTTTGAATAAATTCTATATTTTCACTTTTCCGATAGGACACGGCGTTACTGATTGCCCATCGTAGTTTTAATTGATTTTGCTAAAAATAATATTATTTTGTATATTTCATGAAACAGCTAAAGTACTATCTTCTCCAAATTAATGTTGTTTTTTAAATTCAGAAATACATTTCGTACATCTATGAGGATGAATAAAATTAAAATGAAAAAGCACATCTGTGTCGGCTCCACACACCTGAATCTGCTTACGCAAAAAAAGAGGTCCTGCTGAAGTATCCTTGATTAGATCTCGGATTTTCCTCGAGTAATTCCTCAGCAGATGATTTTTACATTCAATTTTTTCTACTATGACATCTTCATACGGATGAGCGTCGAGAACTCGTTTGTAGCAGTTACTATCACCATCAGCAATCAACTTGTCATATATTAGGCCATACATCTCCAAGCTCTTAGAAAAGCCTTCCGCAATTATGTCGGCCTCCATACTGCTTGATGAACCAGTCCAATTTTTAAAACATTTGTGTGGCTTAGTTAGAGACATATTGGCCCTCTCGGCTATCTTGCAAATGGTGCAATACTTATTTCTTACTCCTAGAAAAAGGACCTTTTTCGTTTTGTAGCCGATTATGGCAGCGGCACCAGACAAGGAGCTGTAATTAGAATGGTAGGATCTGTTTGCCCAACTTCCATCAGCTACCACAGTTATTAGCGGAACCCCATTTGCATCCACTTGTCCATCAGTCACTGCGAGCGCCATTTCTTCATCTGCTGCATTTTTTATCGTTTCTACGCTTGTCTGCTCCCAAGCTTCACATATCTCATCGTGCAACTTGTCATACATTCTGGTTGACATACAGGGCATATCAAGGGTTGCCGTTATCTGTTCAAGATGCGTAAAACCCGAACCAATGTTCATCATTGCTAACACAGCATCCCTGTTGATGTTGCTTTCGGACGTGTGGAGGTTGAATGTTGCATTGCACATATTGCACTTCACAAAATAGGTAGAAATCAAGCCCTCTCTTTTCTCTTCAAGGAAAATTAGGTTTCCCAAGGTACATCCAAAGTTTGCCGAATGTTGAGAGATTTCCAGAAGTGATTTGAAAAAAAAATTTACATCTACTATTCGACGTCCTACAAGAATGTCTTCGTGATGATTGGTGCATTCGATAGTTTGCTGAAAATATACCACCATGATAAATCACAAGAATTTTAATTAGAATGATTTTTAAATACATTTATACACAAAAAGGACAATTTAAAGTCATACAAAAATACAGGACATTCCATTTCAATTTTTTGAGAAAATGTACATTTTACGTTTTCAACCACGATATATACGGTATACTACATATAATGCAAAAAAAATCAGCCGCCGAAGTAGCACTACAAACCTAAAGCATTTCACCTCCTTTACTGAAAAGACCTTTCATACTGTACTAAAATATATGTCAATCCATTAAAAAAACACAGTGTTTCCATGTACTCGTAATTATAGATCATTCTCTGAAAAGCGGGATATTCGAGTGTCAAGCATATATATTCTGATATATCTTATAGGTATCTCGTAGGTGGCAGACGGTCATAGACCATCGAATAACATGGAGGTACTACCCGGCGGGTCTCTTAAGTGGGGTGATGATGTGCGCTGCTTGCTAACTCGCTGGTGTCTGTGTGATGTTTCCCCCTTCCTTGTAAGACCTGCGTGTTAGCTTGAATATAAAAAAATAACCTAATAATAACACCGTTATCGATCTAGCCCACACAAAACTTACCGCTTATATACAGCGCTTTTGAAAAAGGTCCTACAAGTTAATTTTGATCGGAGTAAGCATGATGAAATTTCGGATGATTTAATCTATACGCGGACAATATATTTTAGAATAAAAATAAAGAGCTTCAAGATAAGATATCTCAATAAAACTCATTCCATTAAGAAAAATTGACCAAGATGGCGCCCAGTCCCGTCCTTTCCAATTTTCCACACTGGCACTAGTACTCCCCCTGCCCCTGCGTCCATCCCCGAAACGGAAAACTCACATCGTCACTATCAGCAGCTCACCGAATATGTCCGAATCCGTCGCCCCAGAGACGGAAGCCCATACATGAAAAACACTGAATGCTTATGTGTGGGAAGTAACGAACTCATTATATGGCACTTTGATTGAAAAACATACATACAAATCCTACATACTGATGAAAATGGACTTACTTCAGTTTGACGGTTGGATTCCTCTAATTGTGTTTCCATGGTTGTCTGTGAAACGACCGCTTCTTCTTTCTACAATAAAGTTTCATAAATATGTTACTAAAAAAGTAAAAATATATCCTAAAAAAGGGTATACACACCTGAATTTGAAGATCCATGCCATCTGTCTCTGTTAGAGAATGCATATGTGAAACCTTGCTGTCATTTTTAAGCTAAAATAACATATAAAATATAGTTATAATAGTAACTACGTATAGTCTAATTTATTGGCAAAATGAATGCTAAAATTCATAATTGTTTTGGTACCTACCTTTCTATCTGGAAAACGTCTTTTTTCCTGTGCGTATTTAAATGCGGCTTCTTCGAGACGCCACGTTTATTTCTCTTATTGTTCATTTTTGATACCTTGGTAAGAAAGACACTCAAAAATAACAACACAACAATAACAACACGATAATACAACAATACATTAACGGTAATAAGAGTAATAAGGGCTGGGTATACTATGCGCCAAAATAGGGAAACACTCGTACGCTAGATCGTATATCCAAATCAAATCCGACTCTGTGCAATATGCAAATTCAACCAGGCACGCGAACAGCACACCTCTGCGTATTACTATCCTTTTCTAACGTAGAGCGCTTGCCTTATCACAACGCCGTCCTACTAGCGTTTCCCTATCACCCCCCCGATACCCCTCAGAAACTCTGCTTGACTGTGAGAGCGCCGTTAAATGAGCTCAGAATACATTCGTCACAAGTTGATTGTTCCCTTTTCAGATATTTTGGAAAATATACTAACCTGACTATCCCATAGTACATCATAAGGTGTCTTTCGGGGATTTACCAGATCTTTAAGCGGAATTTGTCGAACTGATGGCGTTCCCATGGTAACTTCATGTGGGATCATTCCTTTGGGCAACCCTTGAGTAGGATCTCGGGGTTTTCCCACCTTTTTGTTCCAGTACGAATCATACGTGGTTTCCTTTAGGTCTGCGATTAACTCTTGGAATCTCTTTTTAACCGGTTGGTTCATACACTGTTGAATATTGACAAGTTAATTAAGGCGGAAGTAAGGCTACTAAGAACTTAATACCCTATAAAACTTCATTTCTTCTATTTGGCAACAATATTTAGAAAGTATCAAATCTACGAAGTAACTACAGTCTCGAACAGCTGAAAGGCACTTTTGCGATACATAATTTGGAAAGTATTTTCAGTGCCAGTTTTGAATTTTATGCTTATCGATATATACGTCAAGAATAGTGCTTATTGACCATTTTCTGGTGGTTTCTGCGCAGTTAAATAAGAAAAAAACACGTCATCAGAGCCAAACATTATAGCTTAAATGTCATGCCTTTTGGCAGCACATACAGCTATAGTACAAGTGGGCATGAAGTGAATGGCAGCTAGTTCAAAGGTGATATCTTTCTGGAAAAAACTACATAATCGATATAGTGGTATCACATTTTAAGTGACGTAATACGGGTGTGGGTGATACGCCACTCGCGCATGTTTTCTAACTTATGAGAGCTCAATAAACAGCATTTAAAATGAATTTATTCTGTATGCACATCAATCTTACTTGTATACTATATACAATATCTGAAACATCCTAGCGGTTGCGTCTAATGGAGACATAATCATACGCCAAACATTATTTGCGTTAATTCGCTCATTGTGCCCAATACGGGATCGTAAGTATTTGAAGTTACAACTAGGTACTCGAAAAAATACTATAAACTGGCGCATGATTACTTGAACGCCTATATTAGTGACAAAATAATCTAATTATTATGATTCACTATACATTCCATGGCTTAACAAAAAGTACTTTTGATACAAAATATAATTTTATATTATCTAGAATTAAAGTTGCTTTTGGTTAAGTCTCTGTGCGAATCTAAAAAAATTAATGATACGACTATACTTTTTTAATCAATTGAGTGTTATAGCATTTTTTATGGATGAAACTTTAAGTTGTTGCGATTTAACTTTCGAATCCAGATTTGGCCGGTTTTATAATATATATAAGTTATAATAATTTATATTTCATTCTATTTTTATCCCAATCCTGTTCATTAACAATAACTGTTTAGAACTAAAAAAAAAAATCAACGCTGATAATTTTTAAACAAACCTTCCCTTAAAAGCGATAATTTACGGTTTTTAAAACGTTTATTTTGTATTGTTTTAATGAATGGTGTTTCCACATCGGCACCAGCAAGGGAAGCCAGGGAGTGCGCATATTTATCACCTATTTGTGTACGGTATTTGGAATTTGAGATCCTCCCCTAGAGAAAATTTACTACCCCCGCCCTTGAGAAACTTTTGGGAGCTGATAGATTTTTGCAACATAGGTACAAAAAAGTTTCCTCTTGCTGATGTCTGAATGCCCTACCCCCTGAGAAAATTTCTTGCGGGAACCGACATCCACGTGTTTGAATGTTCATATTAAGAAGTATATTTATAAACCTCTTTGATCTCAGTTTTGGTGCCGAGGAAACAAGGGTTCCTGATCGGTGGGAGCTCAAGTGGTGGGTTGAAAGGTTCTTCTCTCCATATATCGGCATTGTGTTCCAGTGCTGTGATCGCATCCAGTACTTTGTATTCTCTCAAAGTATCTTTTACGGTCATCGTGGTGGTGGGGTCTCCGGAAGGCTTACCAGCCGCACATATTATAGGACTCCTGTCTATGAATTTTCCCGCATTTCCCGCCATTTTTGGATTGTATTATATACTTGATGTAAATTAGAATGATTGACGTTTTAGTTAAATGTCAAAAATTCGAAACTGTGTCAACGTTTAAGTGCAGAGTGTAACAGCTATTAATTTCCACATCCTCAAAGCCTAGAATGCATCATAGTTTCCGACGAATTATGACTCCGGTAAATGATCTTTACGAGGAACGAGAAGAGGATCTTTTAGTTTTTCCTTATAAGGGGTGTCCCAAAATTCACGCAAGATTTGAATAAAAATACATTTTTTTCATCATACAGTACACAAAATAAGGTGTTGTATAAAAAAAACAGTTAAATGGACTCCTTGACTCAGCTGAGGTTCTTTTGTCAAAGTTTTCCTTGATAAGTTTGAATAATGTTGCAGAATTTGGTTGACGCAGCGATGACTTTCTCCTTTTTTCTGACCTGATTGGGTGATATTGATGTGGATAACGTGTGGTTTCAATAAGACAATGACATGTGCGATACAGCCCGTGAAATAATTCACTGACTGCTTGAAACATCTTGTCACCCAGTTTCTCGTTTCGGTGATTAGAAATGGCCCCATAGATTATGTGATTAAAAGATTTCGATTCCTTTTTGTGGGTTTATATTTACAGTCAAACGTGAATGTTGTCTTAACGACATTAAGCCATATTTATTCATGCAAAATGGTCATGAAAACATGTAGTCTTGCAGTCTCTAAGGAACACACCCATTGAGAGAAAAGGAAGCGATTTGTGTCGCGCAAAAGTGTTAATTAACAGCGGCCAAGCTTACACTGCAAGCAGCTAAGCACTTACATAACCACAGAGCATCATAGTTATCTGCAAAGATGCTATTCTGAGCCCGTTTATATCGTGGTTATGTGCCATATAAGCGCTTGGCTACCATCGGTGTGAAGTGTGAATATGCTCATGTTCGACAATTAAGTTAAAAAGATACTCAGAATCGCGAGCCTAAGACGCTTCTCTTCTCCTCTTCTCCTCAATGAGAGTGCCATTATCTTGGATATGGAAAAATTGGCTTTGCATCATGAGCAGTTTGATTAAATGTGTGAAATAGATGACATTAAGTTAAAAAATAATATCGATTACATATCGTCATAGAGTAGCCTTCCACCACTTACGTGACGTCGATTCAAACGGTTTCCTACAGTATGCGAGAAGTAACATTCTTCTGGTCCGGACTTGATTCATGATGTTGTATTGAAGAGGTGTACAGCGGAGCTAGTTCTTTCGCGTCTCTTCCAGATATCTCACGAATCCGGCACCTTCCCAAAAGATTGAAAGTTTGCTCATGTCCAACCCACCCCAAAAGGAGCTGACGCTTATAACTACAGGCCTATAGCTATGCTTTCTGTTATAAGTAAGGTGACGGAGAGGTGCATAAATTGGGGGCTTCTGGACTACCTCGGACTTCAGGGCTTGATTAGCGCCAGGCAGTATGGTTTCCGGCACCAGCGATCCACAGGGGACCTCCTAGCTTACGTCACGCAATTTGGAGTAAACCCGTCCAGTCTTATGGCTCATCTCGTTGCTTTTGATATCACGAAAGCATTCAATCAACTTTGACGCGTTGCCCTCTTATGCAAACTTCCCTCCATGGCCTCCTAGAGAAGGTTTGAAGATGGCTGGCTGAGTTTCTCTCTGGCTGCAAGATATCCATCGTAATTGACGGGTTCTTCTCCTCATCCCACAACGTCAACGCCGGTGTTCCCCTGGGATCGGTCTTGGTTCTGGCACCGTACCTCTTACATATCAACGGCCTCCTTTTCTGTATCAGCTGATGACAGCACCCTACATGCAGTAATTCAGAGCGATAAGCCGATCTCTGTCGGTGAGCTGGAAAAAAGAAGACTAGTAGCGACTTTCTCTCAGACGAGGGACCTGGAGGTTATCACTGCCTGGGGACGCAATAACCTTGTACAGTTTAATGCTACCAGAACACAGTACTATACATTGATGAACAAAAAGCGTCTTAGCGCTCATCCGGTCTCGATGAATAGCCGAGTTTTTTGGCAGCCAAAGGGCCGTTCATTTCGGCTGATCGGAATCCAGATCACCGAGGACTTGATCTGGCAAGAACAGATCTCGTCAAAAGCGGCAGCTACTGAGGAAAAGCTACCCTATTTGTTTAGGGCTAAGAAGTGCTTTTCTCCGCATGACCTCCTCAGTCTATACAAGGCCCAGATAAGACCTAGCCTCGAGTATTGCTCACACGTTTGGGGTGCTGCCGCTCCGACTACATTATTTATGCTCGATGCTGTCCGACTAATCGATTACTTTTCTCTAACAGATAGCTTCGGGACCTTTTCGCACCGGTGGACCGTTGGCGATGTAGCTCTCTTCTACCGCTACACCAACGAGCTTTACTCCTCAGAGCTCTCTTCCATGATGTCACCGCATGATGTGCCTGCCACACAGATCCGCCTTCGGACTCCCATCCTAACCGTGTCGAACTTCGTACATCCAGAACTGGCCGATATGACCGCTCGTTTGTCCCGAGGGTGTCAAGATTGTGGAACAACCTACAAGAGTAAGCTTTTCCCAGTTTTACTAACCTTAGCCAGTTCAAAAACTGGATTAACAAAATTTATTTGGGATCTTCGTAGCAACCGCGGTGTCCTGGTATTTAGGCTCCTGCCTGTGCGGCTGCTTCGGTGTAAAAAAACCACCTTAGTTGGCACACACGCCAAAATTCTTTCTTTGTTTATAGAAGCCAGTATTGTAAAAGAAATCGCCAATTTGGTCCCAAAATGTTCGTAAGGAATTCAAATATGCCGTAATATTCCGCACTAGGAAAATTAACGTCGTCGAATGTCAATGACGTCATCAAATTTCGATGTTTCGGACTTTTTGTTAGGGTATTCATTAATATCATTATTGTTGCAGGTTTGAAATATTTTCATCTTACCTTGTCGCTTGGTTGTTCTAGACATTAAACAGACAGTTTTCGGTCAACTTTTTTCTCATTGGACGCTATCAATGGTTAAATTTGTTTCTTTCAATGAAGCACCTTGTAGAATGGTGGTGGCGGAATAAATAAGGAGACAAAGAAATAAAACTAAGGCAAACATAAAGGATATTTATTAAATTATCCGTAAGGCACACTTCAAAAACAATGCAAAGGAGACGCCGATATTATACGTTCCACCATCAAAAAACAAAATAATTCAACAAGACATCTGTATATAGATATATAAAAAAATATTCTAAAAACATTTTGCAGATGAACGGTTATTCCATATACATACCATATATAATTATAATAAAGATCACATCAAGTTTTGTAGCTGATTACAACGAGCAAATATACATATTACAGAAAACATATACAGAATACACCTAAATTACTCTTTCCTGGTTCGACAAAAAATTCAACTACTTACATGTATAAAAATATTTTCACATGATACAATGATAAGTGGATTTTACTTAGGGATATCAAGCACTAAAAACAAATATGTGCAATTAACCTAAGTTCGTATTTTCATATAATTTTAGTGCGTCTATTTGTAGTGTACTTACATCTAATACAAAGATGCGATTATATACAAAAGATAAACATTGTAGCATGAAGATTCGGAGGAAACAGCTATATTTTAGCACGTATTTGGAAGGTAAAAATTACAATTGCAATAAAACTCTCATCGCGCCCCACCCCATTTTATAACCTAACCTGCCATCTATTGTTTGTTTACGCACTCAATTCTGCACACGTTTTATGTGTCATTTGTCTATAGTTTTTTGAAACGCATTATTTCAGAACTTATTGTCATGCACAACGCAGGCAGCAGCGGTGGCGTAATGGTAGACGTTATGGGTCTACTAATCAGTAGCATTGCGCTGCGCGGGTTCGAATCCCGTCCCGAGAGAATTTTTCTCTTGGCTATGGATGTTGTGATTGTCCGTAGGTGGTAGACGGTCTCCGACTGTCGAACACGAAGGTACCACCCGCCGGATCTCGTAGGCGGGGCCAGAATGTGTGTATATTGCATGCACACGTGTTCCCTCATTTCTCCTGTATTCCCGTATAGTCCCACGGTACCCATTTAGGCGTTAGGCCTTCGAGGTGGTTGGAGCATAAAAAAAACTTATTCTGATTTCTCAAACGTGTGGTAAAATATTTCTACTTTCTCTCCGATCAGGATTGATTCGTATGAATTTTCATTTTTCATCTACAATTATTGATTTGGGTTCTTGACACCTCAGGACATTGTTTCTATCACCTTTTTACATTAGAATACTTTTCACTTACACGTTATGTCTCATGGCGGCTAAGGCTTTTATCTATTAGTTGATATCAAAAAGACCAATAAGGGTAGACAAGACTGATTTAGAATTCTTGAGATCCATCGTAAGTAAAAACAGTCTAAATAGAAGGGTTTCAAGGATTATGAAGACTGGGTAAGTGCTCAGTTAGAAAAGTCTCAGTAGCAGTAAGACAGCAGCAGTATAGGCACTTTTAGGAAAACGTGAAATGTAAATAGAAAGGACACTTCAATTGTATTTTCGAAGATATACTCGAATTCATTGAGCTGTCTGAACAACAATCGGCAGGAAGTTGTGATATTTTATAACATTACAGTGAGTTCCATTGCAGTTATTATAGTACAAGGAACGATCCACAGAAACAGCGTCTTCGCCTGAAAAAAATGGAAGAGTAATCTCCTACATCAATGCTGAAATCCAAAAAGTTGATACAGAAAATACTGCATAAGAAGCTAAAGTGTAGAATTATTACATGACTATACTATACACATTACAAAATAAATTTCTCTTACCGATTCAGACATGAGCCATTAATGAATGTCAGATGTTCAGTGCAATGCATAATACAGGGTGGGGTGCTGAAATTGATGATTTTGAAATATCTGTCAAAAACTGATGAAAGCTCTTACAATAAATAATATAATGTATTTCAAGCTATTTAAGTTGAAACTTGAACATGACCAATCTTTAATTTCGATTCTACATATGAAGCAAAAAATTCTGTTCAGCTTTATAAGGTTGGCTCTGCATTCAAGTCGCTCCCGAAACCTGTGTGATGTTTGCTGTATCTACTGACAAATGTTTTGTTCCACTTGGGTGAGTGCTGTGGATTTTATTTTCAAGAGCACGCTATTTTAGATCCTGAGTTAATTATTTTACTTCCCACACCCACAGGCGTATTGTAATCGCGAAAGATTTCGAAAACGAGTTTTTGTTTTTTGGATGTTATATGACACGAAAAATCAGATCACTCTTTTCCGTCGGTCTGTCTGTCCGCTAATCCTTGACCCGTCTATCACTTGGAAAGTACTGCTCGGATCTAGATAAAATTTTCACGCAAGGTTATTAATATGCCCACGACGAAAAAACTAGTTTCTGAAAATAGGCTCAGTGGTAGCGGAGAAAAATGCCAAAAACGACAAAAATAATAAACGCTCGAACTTTTATCTTCGTTTGATAGTGTCTAACTTGTGCTGAACATAATCCTTTATAAACTGATGATGGCGTTGGGACGTGAAAAGTGAACCTACTTTTTTTTGTAGGAGAGTTTGTTAGCTTCGATTGATATTTCAAAATCGCTCCCGCCCTAAATATTATTTCGTTCAAAATTTGTAAATAACAATTTATAATCAAAACAATTTTCCTAGTATGTGCTACATTACACATGAATGTGCAATTTATACATTCATATATTAGACTATTATTCCAAGCAGCTACAAAGGGATTTTTGGACACAAATGTTAAAACTCAAGTTTATCATGCCATGTCAGTCTTGGCCAGGCATGCGGAACCGTAGGCTATTATATAACTTGCAATTTGTAACATTGTATGACAGTAGCTGTCAAACATCAAAACACTAATATTCCATGCAACTGTGGCACCGACGTTACGGTAATATGGTTCTTAAGCAATTGGATTACAATTATGGCGCAACACGGTGGATTTGTGCTGCATACAAGTAATACCCAATGACCTATTTTCGAGAATAACTTCTAACACCATCCTGTTTTGGAAAGGCGACCAAATGAAAATTTTGGATGAATGTTGCTTAAATTTGTTTGTCAACCGATCAATTTCCGAGTGAAACGGAATAGTAACAGGGTACTGGCGGTAAACATCGAGAATTCACTTTGGATATATCTAATCACTTCATGCTGAATAAGTCTTGCAGACGTGTTACATTATTATTAATGTCAACCGATAGATTCCTACATAAAATGTATCTTTCCGTCAATAAAATTATCAGCATGCAGACGATAAGAAATATTCCAACTCAGTTTGACATAATTAAGTAACATTCTTCTGTCGATGCATCTGTCAAAGTCCAATTGAATCTGGCGATTGCAAATCGTTTTGAGAATAATCGCTTGACTATACTCATATTTCACAAGTGAGATATAAAATGCAACACCCACAATTATTTTTTGATTATTATTTTTGATAAAAACTTGTAAGCATATTTGCTATCATGGAAGTATATGCTGATAAAATGTTGAAGGCATTTCGAGCCGTATTTTTTTTTTTGTAAAGGCTTTTTTGTCATATCAGGATCTGAACAGTATGAACATGTTTACTTAATATTCAGTGATTTCTCTATATTGGTTCCATTTGTTTCATTGCATTATCATGCCTAGAGTTCGAAGACGCGCTAATTTCACTCAACTTTCCAAATTCGAGAGGCGTCGGATAATCGGGTTACGTGAAGCCAGATTTTCTTTTAGAGAAATCGCTAATCGGTTGAATTGAAACGAAGCTCCTGTAATGAAATGTTGTCGAGCGTGGTTTCAAGATGGTCGAAATCGACTAGTTAGAGGTACTGGGCGTCAAAGACAGACTACAGAGCGACAGGATCGTTATTTGAGGCAAGTAGCACTTAGAGATCGATTTTCCACAACAAGGGCAGATGCGAACCAGTGGAAGGGCAATAACAATGAGGACAGTTTATCGCCAAGTAAGATCTTTTTGACATCTTGTACTACCTCTGACCCCACATCATCGGCGGCATGGAGTAAAGAGAGACTTGAAAGGAATATGGAATGGAATTTAGTCATGTTTAGCGATAAGTCCAGAAACTGTTTGAGCACACATGATGGTCGTGCAAGAGTAAGGAGGAGATGTGGTGAAAGACAATATATACAGGGTGTCCGCAAAGTTGGGGTTTTCCTTTACACGACGTGTAGATCTTGAAAACATAAGCAATTTTTCTTAGTACCATATACACCAATGTCTTAAGGGAACCGAGATAAAGGGCTCTGCAACATCAAAAATATCTGAATACCGTCCTGTAGCCGCGACATCACGGAGTGGTACAATGTCACTGGCTCAACGACAGAACTGGGTCGGGGGTCGGGGTCAGTGTGTCAGTGAAGCAATCATCAAGTGGCTTCACGATGTAATGCTCTAATGTTTTTTAAATAATTTTTAATCTGTTTTTAACTTGTTCTTGTCATATTTTATATAATTTTGACCATTGTACCATCTATCCAGCTCTCACCATGTTACTGGACGTTTCCCTCATCCTATACGTAAACAACAATTAGCAACATCCTCAAATACTACTCTCCTGATGATGATGGCAAAGTCCATTGAAAGCTAGAGAGAATTAAAAAAGTATAAAGAGTCCTCTTTGCTTAAATTTTGTCGAAGTACCCAACAAAAGGCGGAAGCTTTAATTTTTCACCTATATTATATATATATATATATATATATATATATATATATATATATATATATATTATATATATAATTGGCCTGTAAAAATATAGGGATCTTCCACAGGACGATATATATATATATATATATATATATATATATATATAAACAAGTAGGAAAATAATGGGCAAAATCTTCAAAAAGCAGGAAAGTGGATTCGAGCAGAAAATAGGATAGATAACCCGAGCGATACGTATTTCTGCTGGTTGGCTTCATCAGGCCCGAAATGGATGCACATATGAAACCACAAAAGTAGGAGCTTGGATACATTATTAACGTTAAGGTGGGATGTCTCAGCTATTTTGCGAAATTTTGAGTTAAAATTTCAATCAGTTTCTATTTATTAGTAGACCCAACACTTGTAAAAGTATGCTCAAAATTACAGCACTCCTAGTCGGTGTTGCATTTTCTATATCGTTTAGTATATAAACATCCGTAAAAACATGAAGACCGTGCATTAAAATTGTGGTTGTGCATATAAAATAGTATTCATTTTTTTAAAGTAGCAGAACATCTTGGACTGAGCACCTTTAGGCGCGCACAGAGGAAGAATCTGGAACTTGCTTCACGAACATTCAAGTGAATCAACTGAACCAATGACTCTAACTTCTAGAAGTTCTTTCTCTCATTTAACTAAGCAATAAAAAAACAATTGGTGATCTTTATTTATGGCATACTTACCAACCAATAACCGTAAAATGGAAACTTGAGCAATGAACCCATTTATACGAGCTGCAAGTTACATAATAACCCAGACAGGTGGTGTTTCCAAACACAACTAAGACGTTCGAGTGTTAATGTTCCAGGTCGTCTTGTGCGAAGTCCATGGAATGAGCATACGGAGAGTTCCAGTCCCTCTCAAACACCTCCTCTAACTCGCTGCGGATGGTTGTGTGGTCGGCAGTCCTCTCGAAGACCGGATCATGGAGGACGAACGAGATACCCGCGGTGTCGATGAAATAATCCCCTGACCAGTTGGACGTCCCTATGAAGGCAGTTGTGTCTGATACCATGTATTTATTGTGGTTCACGCGGGCGAACGGGATCTTCTGTTGGTCCTTCGTTGCTGGAACGATGAAGCGTCTCTGGAAGGATAATACGATTATCAGTTTGAAATGGAAACGACGATCATCAGCCACACGTGAAACTGTTGTTTGTAAATGAATCTCGTTTGATGTGACGGGCAATGGCAATAATTGTATATTGACGTTAATGGCCGGGAATTGACATGAATGCCCATTGAGGACAAAGAATGTTGTTAATATTTACATTTAAACGGCCATTGATGACAATGGCCTTAGGGGTCGTAGATGCATCAAGCTTTGGCGAATTACTTGTAGGTAGCAGTTAACAACGCTACATACTTTCGAGTTTTTCAGTCGACCATATCCGATTATTTGCCTTCCTTTGACTGACTTCAAGACTAGATTTATACCGTGATGAAGACGGCTAATAAGCTTGAAACAAAGTTGTATACAGTTGGTCAAAGAAACCGAAAGCAAAGAGATTCAAGTTCAGCCTGTGTTGATTTATGCAACTTTTGCATAGTACGCCCCTGCTGATACCTTTTGAATACTTGGTATCCCATCTGATTGACGGGTTGTCGTTTCTATGATAGTGTAAGTTTTTAGAGCAAAATTGTTATTCAGTGTTGGACAGAAAGTAATAGAGGCCTTTTTGCATTTTGGAATGTAGGGGTGGAAGATGTTTAGTTAAAAAAGTAACCCAAACATACTTATTGCTGACTGAATCCGGGAAAATAAAAAACATGTATTTCAAGGGTTAAATTGCAGTGCTTGTAGAAATAGCTAAGTGCAAGTAAAATCAATGCTTTGCACTCTCCATATAAAAATGGGTATAGTAATGAACACATTGCATGTACTGTCCTGTACATTAAGTTTGGGTTATGAATAAAGTGCAGTTAACATTCCAGACGGAATCATTCGTAAAATGAAGGACAACAAGTAACGAGATTCGTATTGTCGAATAAAACAACAATGACAATATTCTGCAAAATTCTCAACTTAGTGCAATTGTCAAGTGAGTATAAAGAATATAGCCTAAGCAATTTAAAAAAAAAGGTTAAAGATGAGTTTAAAGCAATCGGATGGTTAGAATTTAACTTTACGCATATCCACAGGTAATTGATTCCTTTTTCTGAGAAGTGGTGGTCAATATTATGAAGTGTGCCGTTTAAATGTAGATACTTTTTTTCTCTTTATAGTATGAGTCTATGTTTTTTAGGTCGGGTTGAAAAACAGCATAAGCTGACACTCCACCTTTTCGTCACTATTCCTTTTAAGCCAATTATTTTGTAATCATGTGACGAATAAAAGCCATTCATTATTATTATTATTATTTCTCCTCAACCCCTCAATGACGTATATTCTTCGCCTATGGTGCACCTCGTAACCTAGGCGACATTTCATTGCCTTTATCAATAATCATTTGGAAAGTTATGATTTTTACACGCCAGCCACAAAGCAAATAATATCTCATCATTTAGTGTTACAGAGAAAACCCTATTTCGTCAAGAAATAACATTCATACTTCGTAATGCTTGGTACAATGCAAAGTTAACAAAAAGGGAGTTTGCTAATCAACAGTTTACCACAAATAGACGTTGAATAGCTGCTGTATCTGTGTAAAAAGTAAGACAAGCTTCAGATAGATTAAGAGTTGCAATATGTGCAGTGAATATACAGACTGTAATAAAAGTTTGGAACGTATCAAATATCTGACGAATGACTCATATAATTTCTTTAAAAATTGGTCTGATTATGTTCGAAACCACGGCGGATCCGTTGATGATATCCGCGATGTTGCCAAATCTACAGTTTTTCAGAAACTGATAGCAACTTTTGTTCTTATGGAATGCTATACATTTTATTCCATATTTGTATTCTGCGAGAAATTCTGCAACCATTTATTGACGTAATCCTCATAGTTTTCGAAATAACAATAAAAGGTATTTTTGTATTCAAAGCCTTATTTTCGTCAGTGTCTATTTTGAGACGGCCAGATAGTGGAACATCCTTTACAAGTCCTGTTATTTCAAATTTCCTCCAAACTTTTCCAACAGTGTATCTTGTTATTGGATTCCAGTTGGGATATTTGTCATTAAAAATATCGCTATGTGGTCGACGATCGCCATAACCCAGAATCATTAGAATTTTTATTCTTGCAGTTAAATGAATCATTCTCAATAGCTCTACCAACAAAACTTTCGATACCAGTCATTGCTTAGGTCTACGTCAAAGTATGTTTAATAAAAAGTATTAAGAATTTCTCGCAAAATACAAATATCGAATAAAATGTATAGCATTACATGAGAAAAACAAAAGTTGCTATCAGTTTCTGAAAAACTGTATTTGTGGCAACATCGCGGATATCATCATCGTGTTATCCCGTATAGACTGTTGCTCAGTTGGTAGCTATGAGCCTCCTCAGGGTGAGGTTCTTTATACTTTGGTTCTTGAATGCAATGGTTATTTGGTTATTAGTTTCTAAAAAGCTAGGAAATACAATTAAAAACAAGTATCCCTGTTGGGATTCTGGCGTTAAAAGAGATACCAACTCACAAGGTACACAGACATTTATTGAACAAAAAAAGAATAAGAATTCCTGGAGGACAGGCTAACAAGAATGAATATATGTATTACCCCCTAGCTAAATGGTTATCCAAAAAACCATAATTAAAAAACTTGCTATCTCCGAACCGCTATCGTTGGTAAAAGTCCCAGATGTTACCCTGTACGCGGTTCCTCTCCGCTCGATGGTTGAGTGTAATTATCTGCACGGTTAAATCCCCAAAACGGTATGAAAAAGGCTCCGACACTAAGAACCACCAAGGGGGCAGATTTCTATCAAAAACTACCCCACCGCCCTTTGAATCCGAAACTCAGCGTGTGAACTATTCACAGGATCGGGCAGTGGGTCGCAGAATTTCTACACCAGAGCACCGGAAATAGCCCCAAGTCACCTTCAGCTCTCGTACTTACGGGCGACAGAAATTACAAAAAATGACCTCCAACGAGATGGAGAGTAGAGTACAATTTTCTACCTTGAAATTATTAGACTGAGAGAAGTGGTTTGTTATAAAAATGCAATTAGATGTTTTTAAGAACAACTATAAAATTATTATTCTAAATATGAAAAACGCTGCAATAATTCACTTTATCAAAATGTAGTTAATTTTTAGTCGACCATAAAAACAAACTGTAAGAATCGGATCCGCCGTGATTTCTAACCTAAACCTACCAATTTTTAAATACAAGATAACATGACGTACGGACACGGCAGCGGACATGAACGAATTCGATAGCGATCTGTTGGTTCGCCGCCGCTGGGCCAGCCACACGACCAATTAAGGGTGAAATCAGCTGCTCCAAAACAGACATCGCAGACGAGGTATCATTGAATAATCGCACAGCAGATTTGAGAAGGACCACCTTGTCCTATGTTTCAGCTATCAAAAACTGATGTAACAGGGATCAGAATAACATGCCATATGTAATACATAGAAATTAACTTACCACCTCAATTGATACTCTAGGATAAGCATTGTTGACACTAGCCAGAGATTTCAAAAAATTATCTTCAGCAGGTCTAGAATGGTTCCACCAACTGATTAGCATTTTCACCTTAACTTTGTGTTCTATTGCTGCGGTTTTGATGGCATCGTCAATTTCTGGCCAAAACCTATTGAAATTACTCGTTTATATTAGTGGATACGCAAAAAGTATACATATAAAATAGTATGTCAAGATTATAAAAAACTATATCACACTACTTTTAAATATTTTCCAATTGAAACAGATGTCAGCAGATTAAAATGTCTAGCTTATGAGAGTAAAGAGTTTTATCAATTACAAATATTGTCGTTCGACATTTAACCCACATAAATCACTGACTTATATGTTAAATAAGGTTATCGTTAACGATTATGTATACGGTAATTATGATTGCCAAAACTCTATTATAGAGAGCTATGGCACTTTTTGACATTTAAGTCATAAGAAGTCTATGGCTGAGTGTCAAATAAGGTTAAAGTTAACGTTTTGATGTACATGAGGTAGTGATTGGCCATAACTGAAATGAAATTTGTTTTTTTTTTGCATAAAACTGGAAGTCAACATTGTATAAAATGTATTCTATAAAATGTCTATTCTTACCTGATTTTTGGAGAATATATGGTAAGGGGGATATAATCCATAACAGATATGTACACAAACTTCTCAGCGTGGAGAATAACATGTTTTAAGGCTTCAACGTCGTTGGTTCGACCATGTGGGTTCAAAGGAGGAGGAGAGCTCTACGATTTCAAAAAAATTGCATTTAATACATAACTCACACGAGAAAATGGAAAAACATTTACGCTATAGTTAGAACTTTGACTTTTTTATACACCTGAACCACCACGAATGCCTAAGGTCCAAACACTCGTGGGTACCGTGGGGCAATAGGGGGATATAGGAGAGAGGGGGACCACATATGGACTCTAGCAATAGAACGCGTGTAGGAAATGAATACAGTGCAATTTCAAGAGGAAATGGAGGTTTTAAATTCTGAAACTGTTGTGGCTCCTACTCAAAGCATCTGATATGGTTTATGTGTATTATTACTTGCCTCATGAGCATAGAGGGTACGACAGGGAGACAGGTTTAATAAACATCATAAAATTTGCGTCAAAACTCACCGAAAAGAAAGCATGGAATGTTTCGTTGTTGTATATCAGGTCCATCGGCGTGTCGAGATTGTATTTAGTATACAAAGTTGCAGGCCAATTGGATGGAATCTTTGCACCGTCCTCGCCTAAAGTCCAGTATACCTCGAAGATTTTTCGGACATCTTCGGCTAAACATGAGCAATTTCTGATGGATATACCCATTTCTTTCACCTAAAATTTAATAACATGCCGTCAGTACATACAAGGATATAAGTGCCTTTGCCAACAGCACTATTAACCATCGGGGTTTCGCGGCCAAAAACAAAACATTATAAAATATATATAAAAATATAGTTTTACCCCACCAGAAATCATTGCCGTCCTCAAAAGATTATCGAGTAGATGTCAAAACATTTATCTTTTTGTATCTACATTGATCCAGGGAATAGAATCATAGTTAGGACCAATGACGCGACTCTTGAACCGAGGGTTATAACTGTTTCCATTTTAAACGTTCTATGTAGGTTAGATCATGATATACAGATAAATTAAAACAATATCAAGAAATTGCTGTCCCAAGTTGACAATTTAAAATGTTCCACAACAAAAAGACCTATATAGTCGAAATCACGAAAGATGACGATTACATCATCATTTTAGTCTGTAGTAAAGACATGCGACAGCGATTTGTGAATATATTTTATAAAGTTTCTGATATGTTAGACAGAGACAAACAGAATTTTATTGTCTAAACAAACTGTATTGCTAATTTGCATATATCCGACAAAGATAGACGATGTTTTCATGTTGCATGATCGATCATATTTGAAAGATGAATAGTTAGGTTATGTTAAAGCAGGTTATGTTGTTTTCGAGTAATACTTTGGTCTTTGGTGTTCCTGTCTTAAGGTATTCTACTCATAACTGTTTTTTTTCAAAACAAATACTCCCCACTAAAATTATTATTACGGTATCACTCAAAACCATGAAATAAAATGAAAATAAAAATAATCAGTGAAATAACCTAACTTCGCAAAATCATAATATAAATTTGTTGTCATTATGTTTCTGACTCGTGATCATCGACTTGCGTCCATTGATTACTTCAGTACAATTTATGGTATGACGTAACAGTCATCTTTCGTGATTTTGACTATAAATGACATAACTCCTGGTACCTGTCATCACCAAAGTCATCACTGGCGTTGAACGGCTGATATATTTTTGTCTCTGTGCCACGTTTAATATGTGACCATAACATGCAATATCTTGTCTTCAACAAGAGAGTTGTCAGGGATGCTGACTGTTATTTGAAATAAAAATACTGAAGTGAATCTTTTTTATATTTTTTAATATTCCATTCACATATCTTCTATAAATATACAATTTCTATCTATGTATAGTTATTTCGATATGCCATGTCTAATGATTCAAGCACTAATCAAGACTTGTGCGGAGGAGATTTCAATAATATCATATCCCATATAAATGCTACAACTTGGGTGCCTCAAATACAATTTGGTTATTTCATTTCAACTTTTACGGGTCAGTACATCTTGTATGTGTCCACTTTACCTCTAAAAATAGTCATTTGTCAAATCACACATAAATGTTTCTTTCAATTTTATATGGAATCGTTTCATTTTAGGAATGAGTCATCAAATTCTGGTTAGAAAGTATTCGTCGTCAAATCGATAAACAAGTCATAAATCACATGAAATTACCATAATACGGGAGGCGTGTGTTTATAGTATTGATTTGTGACGATAAGATAAATGATATATTGATTAGTAATATCCAAGTCGCATAGAGGAAAGGGATAATAGACACTGAACCGACAGACTCATAATAACCCCTTAATGACATGTAAAAGCAACAAGGTTTAGCCGCAAGTGTTTACTTAAGATAAGTAAAAGTCATGGAATTAGTAATAGTTCCGCTTAGCGTCTACGAACAGGTTTTCCAAAAATATTGCAGCACTTTCCATGATTTTACCCTACGACAGAATGATACAAACACCTACAAATTCTCTAAAATTCGAAGATTTACACGATCACTACTTCCCTTTCCAATAGTGCCAATGATAACTTTTTGGCATAAGAACTGTTTTTCCAGGGACATTGAAAGCACCCCACATCCTCAAGTGATACACAACTTTGACAAATGCGTAGACAGAGTCGTATTAAGAGACGGGTTTCTGTAGCTGTATTATGTTTTAGCTTTTTGTACTTTTTAACGCCACTTTTAAGTGATTTTGTATTTCTCTGTGTACTTCACCTACTTTATTGTAAAAAATCAGTCAGTGAAAGTTTGTATGTGAAAATAAATGTACATCGTTGATGTGCGAGCACGGTTTCATCAGATTCAGAATACAAACATTTCACTTGCTGATCAGCTATTCACCTCAACAGACGTCAAAATGTGATGAAATATCGTAAAAAATAGATTACACTATCTTTTATTCAACTGATTCGACTTAATTACACATCAAAGGACGTATCAAACCTGTTTTCCCTATCTGGCCATGATTGTGCATAATAAATACAATTTGTATATCCGCCACTGAAAGAATCTCTATTTTTAAAAATAATTTATTCTGTTGCCCTAGCAGGACGGAGCGTTATTATACCCTATCACGGCATGGTAAGAATGTTTAGTTATTCTGCTATGAACAAGACGCGATAGTCTGGTTCGATGTTGCATACCATTTAAATTCATTTCCTCTAAGACAATGAAAAATATGATGATATATGAGTTTAATCAATAAATAGGAATTAAAAGTTACTTAAGATGGAACGGAACGTACTTTAAAACCCAAATTCGCGTCAGAGATGTTAATCCTGTTAATGACAAAATATTTAAAGTTATGGTCAACTATAGAATCAACGTTACCGACAGACAGACGTAAAGAAATAAAAGCTCTTCAATGCCAGTGATGACTTAGTCGGTGACGGCAGATATCAGGAGTGACGTCATCCTAACTGTAGGTTCGTTTTCTCAAAAAAAGTTAAACTGTTAGTTTCAAACAGCACGCTTTAAAAACTTGTTTTCTTTTAATTTTTTCATACAATATGGACTATTACACATTGTATCCTTTGAAATAAAAACGAAAAACAAAAACATGGCATTTTCCTTTTTATTTAAATGTGATGCCATTCTTCGTGTAAGGAGGGGTCAGCTGAATATCCATGTTAAGGCAGCAGCTAAAGGAGTGTACCTAATCTTGTGAAGAAAAGTAGACAAAACGCCCGATAGCGAGCAGCCACTGACTGAAAATATGAAAACCTTGAAAATACAAAATCATGATAGATTCTAGTTAGTTTCTGCGATGCAATGATCCAAGAGGCCAATGTGCCTATAGTTACAAATTCGACATGTCAATATAACAAGTCATTATTGATTGTCAGAGCAGTTTGTAAGAACTTAGCTCTTGTGTCATATCATTACCTTGCATTTTTTTATGTTCCGACTACCACGAGGGCCTAATGCCTAAACACCTATGGGGTACCGTGGGGCTATAGGCGGATACAGGGGAAAGGGGGGACGCCACACGGACTCTGGCGAGGTAACCCGTGTGCATGCAACATGCACACATTCTGGCCCCGCCTACGAGATCCGCCGGGTGGTACCTCTGCGTTCGACAGTCACATACCATCTACCACCTACGGACAATCAAAACATCCATAGTCAAGAGAAACATTTCTCTTTGGACGGGATTCGAACCCACACAGCGCACGGCGACTGATCAGGAGACCGAAGAGTCTACTACTGCGGCCACCGCTGCTGCCTTCCCGAATCGTCCTGATGTCAGATATGAAAACTCACAAATAAAATAAGCAAATAATGATTTGATGCTATTTGGTGCTAAAACTAATGCGACAATTTTTAATGAATCAAGTTTAATTGTGATGCTGTTATAAGAATGTTTTAATTCTGGTCATTATGGTTTTTTTTGCCATCAACGAGATACATGATCATGTGCTTGCCAACTTGCTCGTGTGTATAGTCCACTGATTCGCAGGACACTGATGAGAAAGCATTCAGTTAGTGAACCCTAAACCAATTACTGCAAATCGGCTTAATAGTCGCACGTATAAACGTTTACTTCCAACAAAGAATTTCTGACTATCAGAGACTGTCAGATACAGACAGCTAAACAAATTAATGATATGATGTTGCCTAGCTAGGAGCTGTAGTTAATGACCTTTCGAGACTAAAAAAAAATCAATATTGTAAAGGGCCTACTTAAATCGTCTTCGTCTCGTGACACTTTGTGGTATGCTGTCCTTGGTCTAAAGGTCAAATTTTTCGAACGATTGTTAATGATGCGATCCGATTTTCACAGTCTAGCCTAAACCAACTTATTGTTTAAAGTATTAACTTTAAAACAAGTAATACTCATTTAGTACGTAAAAATCTTTTATTGTAGTTTGCTCTCCCAGACTATGTCGTAAGTACAAGGCCTCACCAAGAAAAATAAGATATTTCCATGTGATGAATCTGGGTCGATTTAAAACTGGGTCATTCTATCTTGTTCTTTTTGCGATAGGGAAACAGTCCTCCTCGTTTGTATGATCGTCTAATACATCTATAATCAATGTTTTACGAGATAGGTGATCGTATAGTTTAGGACTTTACTTCTCGAACAATTTCTTTTTGTGACGAAACTGTAGAAACGTAATACTAGCGTATGTGACGAACACTTTTGGAAACATGTCTTGCAATATCTAGTTTTATCATAATAATATATGTATGTATTAAAGAGTAGTACTATTTTATACAAAGTTTCAATAAAATTGGTTTTCTGGATGCTCTTACAACATGCACTTATTTTCATCGGTCTATCCACCTGGCATTTGTCTGTTAATCCTTGGCCCTTCTATAACTGGCGGGGTTCAACAAAAAATATAACATTCGCAAACTTTGTATCTGTACATTTACTTTTCATGCCCTGTCTTGAGTACTCTGTATGAATTATTAAAATATCGAATAAATGGTTTGTTCGTACAGCAATCGCAACCTGTCGGTGAACATGTCCAGGACCCCGTCACACGAATTCCGTTCATTCTGCTACGTTATGTAAACGAAATTCACATATACCCGGATCCCACAAGGTCACTGACAAGCCACCGACCTCTGAACAAACCGCATGTCAACTACAGTGGGTCTCCACCCATAACACAACAGTCATAAATTAAATGACAAACACAATACCGAAAAAATTGATAGGCATTTGTAGGCGTGAAGTTGCGATTTTCTACATTACGCTTGACATGTCTCAGAAACAGTTACACTTAAGGTGCAGTCTCACGCCGTGACAACAGCAGGAGACCAAGCTTGAGAACGATTCGACTGACTAGTGACAAAGTACTCATGCAGAAAATCTGATATTATCTCACTTTCACTGTTAAATGATTTTTTTAAGTTTGGAGTGCAACCGGAAGTGACAAGATTTCCATTAATGTACACGTTCAGAAATTCGTGAACAATCTAGATATTTCATATGCAAAGATAACGAGAGGAACAGTATATGGCAATGAGGAGCAATAGTAACTGAAACGATTTTTTACATTTCGTTCAATGCGTGCGGGAGTGTTTCGTCTGCTATTCGCCGCAAAACCTGATATAGTCACAGAAAAAACTTCTGTAAAGGCTTTTACATGCATGTACGTGAGTCAAACGCAAAAATTGTGCTGAAGAAAAATTGTCGAACCCTACAGATGCAATTTCATGAGAGCGTCAAGAGTGATATATAATCAAAATCCCATTTACCCTAAAGGGTTAAACAAAATATTACAAAACCTACTATTATTTGTACATGAATTTAATGCATTTTTTTTTTGTTTAAAGCTTCTCTCCGTTCTCCTTTTTCCTAGCACCTTACTCTCCCAAACTTGTTTCACCAGTATGTTGTCACCCATTCTTTGCAAATGTCCTCACCATCTCAGCTGTTTCATTTCTATGTGTTCTAGTATGGATTCTGTCTCAACTCCGTTCTTTTAGTCTCGTTTCTTATTTTGTCCATTTTGGTTACCCCTTTAACTCGTCTCAGGTATTTCATTTCAACTGCCTGAAGTTTACTTTTTTAGTTGTTGCGGTAGAACCCAGGATTCGCATCCATATGTCAATCTGGTTTATATATTGTATTATACACTGTCATTTTTGTTTTCTTGGACACATCTTTTTTATTGATAAAACCTTTACTCATCGCATAGTACAAGTTGTTTGCCTTTCCTATCCTTTCAGAAACTTCTATTTCATTTCTGCCGTTAGGTTCCAATATAGATCCCAGATATCTGTTGTAATTTTACATTATCTATTCTTACGTCCATATTGAGTTTTTCATTTGACACAGCCATAACTTTAGTTTTAAGTTTATTTAGTTTCATACCACTAACTTCAAGTACTTTATTCGAAATGTTCAAATTTTAATGTAGACTCCCAACACTACCAGTTACCACCACCAAATCATCTGCAAATGCGCACTTTGGTAATTCCACTTTTTGCAGCTTCCTGTATCCAACAAAAATTGGTTTTGTTCTTTGCCTGCATTGTCTTATCAGATCATCCATAAATACTATAAACAATAGGGGACTAAGCCCTCCGCCTTGAAGTAGCGAATTCTTCGGACATTATATTTCTGGATATTACTAGTAAAAAAATAGTGATATTGCTATTAAAAATATACTCATTGTTAGTTTTGAATTTGAGAACAAAATACAGCTCTACTCCAAATAGCACAAATACCACTAGGTTTTGTAAACTGTAGGCAGTGTTGACAAGCAATGACAAACGTCACATCATTCGATCGTCAATGTTGAGTTGTGTTCAACTTTGACGCTCGAAATTTACGCACCTGACTATGGACCACGTGACCTCTTGATATTTGAAGCTTGACGTTTTCATGAAAGTGCCATCCCGCACCTGCTACCCATCTATATATTTTCTATAGAATAGAAATTGCTGATCCTTACCTGAGTCAAAGACCTCCAATCCATGTTAGCACTGCCCAGATAGACGTGAGTCCGATCAACGATCCACAACTTTGTGTGTAACACTCCACCTCCCAATAGCTTATTGAAGTTGACACTACGAACTTTCGCAGCTTTTCTCTTCATAAGTAGCTCAGTGTCAACATTCGGATAGTTCTGAGATGGCATGTTTTGTGCCACCCGTATCTTGATGCCTCGCTCTGTGCCAGCACGTAATAGCGATTGAAATATTTGCTCGCCCTGTAGGACATATGATAATAAAAGTATAGTTATATTTTTTGTTTTTGCAGCATTGGTCCCATACAATGCCGTTTGTAGCGCTAGTATCACACTTCTATATACAAGGTCTGTAAATTAAGTGATGATACTGGTTTTTTCAGTTTTTTATACAAATATAATTACAATTGTATATTGCTACCCTCAATATAACTTCCTTCTGAAGCCACTAAGCGCTAGAGACGGTTCTTCCACTCCTTATAGCAGTGCTGGAATTCAGATACTGGAATAGTCTTCAGCTGGTCGGTTACAGCCGTTTGAATCTTTTCGAATGTCCCTTGAGGTGATTTTTAAACTTCGGGAAGAGAAAAAAGTCACAAGAACTGAAGTCAGGCGAACAGCGAATGATGGTGCGAGTCAAATTTAACTCTTTTACGGTCATTCTGACAGTCAACCGACGATCTGAATGCACAAGATCCTGGATTCTGTCGATATTTTCATCGGTTCTTGAAGATGAAAGCCTTCCGCTGAGTGGTTCAACTTCAATCGACTCCCTTCAGAAAATGCCATAAACCGCAGAAAAACCTGTCCTCTTGACAAAACAGTAGGCCGTAGGGTTGCTGAAGTTTAGCAAGAGTTTTCGTTGAACTGTGCCAAAGTCTGAAGCAAAACCTGATAGCACACCCTTGCTCCAAATTGTTGTCATTCATTTTTAGAACTGTTTAAAATGACTCGAGCGAGTACAAACTTATACTGAAGGCGGATCACATATTCCCCTCCCTTTCCTGCAAGCAAGGAGCCTCTAGTCTTGCCAGATCGAACGCTACGTTGCCAGTCTCATCACCTAATTGACAGACCTCCTAGGATAAGTATAAAGGAAAGTGGAACTGGTAACTTGGCAATAGTGAGTGAGGCTATATATGTAAAACGCCAAAAAGAGTGTTGTCTAAAGGACGTTGTCAGATCTACATAATTTTAGTGGGATCACTGATTTTATCCCTTTTCTACTGAACAGTTAATCATATCTCGGGTAGAGCGAATTGATATATTAGTGAGATCAAAACATGGCTCGACTGTTCGACTCGACGGTCGATATTCTTTCATTTCTTCGAAAGAAACAGCCAGTTGGCAAAAATAGAACTTACCATTAATAGGAAATAAGCAAATAAGATATTAAATAACTATTAAAGAAGAGCCACTGCAGTGCTTCTACTTTATCCTACAATGCTTTTAATCAATTGCGGGAGTTGAAAGTTACTCAAAAAATATAAGTCACACGAGCATCATTGGGACCGTTCAGCCAACGTAAAGCGGTCCAGCGGTGCAGCGCTTTATGCTGAATAGCTGTAGTCGCGGAATACCTTTGACAGTTAACCAGCATATCAAATCTGACAACCAAAACTGCTGTCAAAGTGACAAAGCTATCCTATGGATACTGTTGTTGAGCAAAAAACCGCTTCACTATTGGTCTGCTTTACGTTGACTGACCGGTCCCATTGAAATCACTGGTAAAATATTTGAGGTTGCCATCAACTATGGCAGCTGCGATAGATGCCAGACAATCAGATAATTGTTATGCATTCTTTGATAATCTAAAAGTGCCGGTGGCATTCAGAATAATTCAAATTTTCCATCAAGTTTTCATTGATTAGAAAATTAGAATCACTAGCGACAAAGCTTTTGAAGTGCATTTGGGCATTGCAATCTGACTTCTATCACAGTTAACCTATACCGCAGTTCAATCAGGACTGTATGTGTTTGCTTTTCGTCTCTGCTACCATGACCAGTCGAATAAGACGCCGCTTCACGATGGTTAACAATCATTTTTTTTACAACTACTACGAAGGCCTAAGGCCTAAATATCCATGGGGTACCGTGGGGCTATAGGGGGATACAGGGGAAAGGGGAAACGTCACACGACTCTGGCGAGGGAACACGTGTGCATGCAACATGCATACATTCTGGCCCCACCTACGAGATCCGCCGGGTGGTACCTCTACGTTCGACAGTCGGAGACCGTCTACCACCTACGGACAATCACAACATCCATAGCCAAGAGAACAATTTCGCTTGGGACGGGATTCAAACCCACACAGCGCACGGCGACTGATCAGGAGACCGAAGAGTCTACTACTGCGGCCACCGCTGCTGCCATCAGCATGGTATAGGTTTGTTTTTGGGACAGACAACGAAAAGCAAATAAGCCCCCTGAAAAACTCAATAAGATGCTGGCCAAACGATAATACAATGCCAACTGTTTGCTTTCCAGTGTCTACCTCCTAAGACCTATATCGTACCGATGATTGCTAACTTGCATGAAACAAGGTCATATCACGTTCGCGACTGAGGCATTTTTGTGGTTGTAACGGTTCGTACCCTTGGCGACCCGTGCGGTAACATCTTTTTTGTATGGTTTGTGACCCCAGGGACCCATAAGCATCTTGCTTATGGGGAGCCAAAGTTTCCATTAACCTAAGGACATTTCTCTAATTTTGGAATTGTTTATTATTCTGATAAGGTACATCTATTTGTTGCAGGACGTCGACGTAACACACTGAAACAATTTTATGTCTGAAACTTTGGTATATTTGTATGACTTCTTCTATATATACTCGTATCTCACAATTCATTTTCTGGGTATTTTGGGATAGAAAATCTTGTTATCTAGGTATAATGGGGCCCTGGTATCTATTTCTTCGTGTGGAATAGTTTAGACATCATCAGGTTTTGAGTCTATCTGATCAGCCTCAGACAGGCTCTCATAAGAAGACGCCGATGTCCCCGATGATTCCTCAGATGGAGAATAATCCCTATCAGCAGAAGAAAAAAGTTGTGTAGCACAGAATCTCTACCCATATCACAGGCATTATTTGTACTATTGGCTGGAGTTAAGGCTTCCCTACCGATTCTGGTGTGTTCTTGTTCTAAAGAAATAGAAACTGAAAATGAAGAATCATCGTAATCTACAATCTTATGAGCGGTGACTTTTTCCTTCAATTTTTGTGGCGATTCGTTCTTTATTTTGATTTGATTGATCGCTAAATGCAGGTGCTTCTGAGCTCTAATTGCTTATTCTGCTATCTGAAAATTAACAAAACTGAGTCACTAGTGTAATGGAATATGGAAGCAACTTTTAACTCACCTCTAACAATAAAATTATTAATAAATAAATTTTATACCATTCTTATCACGCGCGTTACTTACATTGTTACATTGATCTATTTTGCGTATAGTACGGTTCGAGAAGCCAGTGATACGAAGCATAAGACAGCATACTGACTGACAAGTCAAAATATGACTGAACGGTACCGAAACCACAGACATCTGATGTTAAATAGCTGAAATATCGTACCCGTGCTTGAGTGATGTGTCTGCGATTTCAGCTTCGTATTACAATAACAACTGTCTGTATCCAGAGACGGAAAACACACATCTGTTCCAAAACTTTATGCAGCCTTTGCATATTATGCGACTGCTGATAGCAAGGTTGACACTTGGTGTTCCCCTGATTGAGGGGTTGTTTTTTCGCAAAGCGGTACTTTTATTTAGTTTGGCTACTAGGTTTCTCGCCCGGTATCCAATGTAAATCTTATCATAGCAGCAGTGACGTCATCACAAATGTAGGTCCGTTTTTGCGGAAAAATTTAAGCCGTTAGCTCGAAACAGCATTTTCTTGAAACAAACTACTGTGATTTAAGTTTTTGCTATTCTACATGTAAGCCTTTAAAATAACAGCAAATACAAAAACATTGCATCTCACCTATTCGTATATAGTCGAAATCACGAAAGATGACGATTACGTCATCATTTTATTCTGTAGTAAAGACAAACGACAGCCATTTGTGAATATTTTTAAATGAAGGTTCAGATGTGTTAGACATAAATCAAATTCAAGCGGATAACCAAATGGAAATGGTATTTACCATTTTGGGTTGGTATTTACCAATCCGTTCAAGCGAGTGTAGTTATCAGTTTGGTTATAAGATCCGTGACGTCACGAATCAGCTGTTATATGTCATAGTTATCACCGCAAAATTGTGGTATTTACCCAACTCAAGAGTAGTTTTATATTTCTGGTTATTATTTGAAATGTGACAAGTCAGAATTTTGCCGGGTATTGGATATTGTTATTGTACTTCAGCTTCATTTTTGAGAAAAATGATACAGGCTGACTTCAGTTTTACCATAAAGTGGAGCAACTTATTAGTTATACTCATTACGGTTGTTGAGGACACTTTAAATGTAGTTCCTATGCTTAACAAAGTATTCTGTGTAGCCATATACCACGAGAATATTAAAATATGGCCATATAAACTCACTAGATGATATCCACCTGTATACGGTTTTGCTAATATCTTTTTTCATCATTTCTGCTGAATCAATAAATGTTTTCTTTGACATGCGGAAAAATTTAAGGAATTGAAAGTTATCATAGCTACAAAGCCATGGTTCCATCATTAAAAAAAAATCTGAAAAAAACATTTCTCCCATGAATATTATGAAAGGTTTCTTATTTAAACTTTCCATATACAGTTGTAGACGAAAAAGCACCGATTATTAAGTGATAATGAAAATAATCAGAGATTATATACGCGCTTTTCTAAAATAAACAACTTGCAACAAAACCGCGGTTAAAACCAACGCGTTCAAGCGATTCGTGTAACTGACGTCATCAACCCGTGTGTCATCTTGAACCATGTTATAACCGCGGCACATAACACAGAAATTTTGGTTATTCGCTTGGATTTGATTATAGACAAACAAAATTTTATTGTCTAAACAAGTAGTATTGCTGAATTGCATGTATCCGATAAAGACAGACGATTTTTGCATGTTTCATGATCGATCACATTTGAAAGATGACAAGTGAGGTTATGTGTATGTCATGTCAGCGTGTTGACAGTTCGTTGCAGGTTAGGTTGTTTTCGAACAATACTTTGGTCGTTGGTGTTCCTGTCTTGAGGTGTATTCTGTTGTGTGTATAACTGTTTTTTTCAAAACAAAAACTCCTCATAAAAATTATTATTAAGGTAGAAACTAAATAATTTCCAACATAAGAGCATCATTTAAGACTTCTAGTTTTCGCTATGAAAGGCAAAACTCTTAGCTCTCAATCACAGGGCTTGGTACTATCCTTGCTTAATTATTTTCAACAAGAAAAGGATAATGGAGGGCCTCTATTACCATTGTTAGCTGTCCAAGAGGTTTGTAATAGTTAGAAATATGGTCATATGATTGACAATTTATTCTATATTATTTTTCAGAGGGTGGCTCAGGCACTAAGTATGAGTTTGTCCACTATTACCAGAATACAGCGCCATTTATCATCTAATGATAATGTCCTAAGATCACCTGGAAAGAAGAGACCCAGAAAAAAGTCTAAGACAACAGATAGTCAGGCATAACATACGAGATACAGTGTATCAAATGTATAGTGAAAGTAATGATAATGAGCGTGAGATGGTACATTCCAAATTATTGATTTTTTGTTTTGTTTCAGAGAAACATGTCACAATAGCAAATTTGAATAAAACGCTTAAAGAGAAAGAGCTTGTTTCTATCAGCAATAGCTCTTTACAAAGAGTGCTGCCCACCATAGGCTTTAAATATAAAAAAGATGGTAATAGAAGATTTCTAGTTGAGCAATCCAGTATTGCTTTACTTCGCACCAAATTTTTGAGAAGTTATAATGACTATGTGAACACTTCCTCGCATCAAATTTTTTTCATGGATGAAACATGGATATTTTCAAAAGGCAGTCCAAAACAGTCTTGGCAAGATGAGTCAATAAAAAGTGTAAGGAGACCATTGGGCTTTCAAGGAAAGCGATTTATTGTTGTCCATGCAGGGAGAGAAAAAGGATTTGTTGATGGAGCAAGTCTGTTATTTTCCTCACAGTCTAAATCTGCAGATTACCATGGTGATATGAACGGCGAGACATTCATTAAGTGGTTAAAAGAAAAACTCCTCTGCAACTTGGAAGAGCCATCAGTGATAATTATGGATAATGCATCCTATCATAGCATTTTATTGGAAAAGACTCCAAACACAAGTTCTCCAAAAAAAGAGATTATTGACTGGCTGGTTAAAAATGAAATTGTGTTCCAACCAACATTAATTAAAGTGGAGTTATTGAATATAGTGAAAAGAAATCGTAAGGAAAAGAAGTATTTAATAGATGAAATCATAAGAAGTTATGGACATGAAGTTCTTCGTACCCCCATACCAGTGTGAATTTAATGCCATCGAGTTAATATGGGCCAATGCTAAGCAGTATTATGATAGACATATTGGAAGATGTGGTCATAGTGATGAAAATGTTTTAGCTATGTGGAATGAAGCTCTGTCACAAATTACACCAGAGGTTTGAAAAAAATGTGTGAAGCATACCCATGATGTAATTTTAGAGTGGTACAACAAAACTATTACTCGTGAAATAGAACCACTGATAATCTCATTTGATTCAGATAGCAATACTGAATCTGACAGTAGCGATTAATTTTTAATCTGAATTTGACCATAAGTAATGGAATAACATATTGAAATGTACAGTTTATTTTATTTGATATATGTTTTATATAATTTTGTAGCTTATGCTAAAATGAATAGTGGATGGCATGACATGAAATAGTTCAAAAATATTTTCACTTTGGTATGCTTATTTGTGTTTGTATTTTTTTTATAAAATAAAACCATGTTCTCAGAATCAATTGGTCGTTTTAATGGAGCTGATACCAATGTATTATTATGATTTTGGTAAGAACTCTAGGGACTCAACAATATTAGGTGAAAAATAGGTTCAAAATACGTACTATTATTGTGAACAGAGGAAATGCTGTTTTTTTTTTAATAAATATGTAATTTTATTGCAAATAGAAGTCTTAAAATGTAAATTTGTGCACGGATAATGATAATTTAAAATCATGAAATAGAATAAATAAAAATAATCACTGAAATCAGCTAACTTCGATCACATGTTCCTGACATCGTAACCTTATCATCGACGTACGTCCGGTAATTATTTCGTTACAATTTATGGTATGACATAATCGTCATCTTTCGTGATTTCGACTATACTCATAGTATCTCACCTTGATGGAAGATGGGTCAGGATAAACCTCAGACTGCCTCAATGTCCAATATAATGAAGCAATATCTATCGATTCGTGTGCAGAATTGATCAAATCTAACCATGTATCAAAAGTGGAAGGATGGATTACAGAATCGTTTGGATAGACTAAGCCCTCTGGTATGCTTTCTATTAATGATAACCTGAAATGAAGGAAGATGTCAATCACCAATACCATTGATGTTTCTACATGAAGATAGCCAACCTAATCCTATATTCCCGCGACTAAAAAATGATCCGAGATAAAATGGCATAGCATCATCTATGAGAATTTTTCCCAGCTGTTTCTCTATTTACTATATATACTTTCAAAATGTAAGTGTCTCATAGATGGCTGCCGCGCAATATACAGGGTGTCAAAGATAAGAATGGGGATCTCAATAACTTTGGGAGATACAGCTTAGGTGGAATTAACAAGAATTTGCGTTCTTTACATGCTGATGAGAAACTTGTAAAAATCGCGTGGACAACTTGAGATATTTGGGAAAAAATATTTGGCCAAATCATTTTCATTTTCTCTGACTTTGTTTTAAGAAATATAAAAAAACTAATGACTCTTTTCCACTGGCACTTTTGAGGCACTACATGATAGTGTTTTCAAATGTCGCTCCTGCAAAATGTGAAATTCGCAGATACTATCTTCTAGTTTAGTGGGGCAGTATAGTAGACGACAACAATATTGTACTCGTTCATATTTTTTCTGCTTCCTTGTGTTACCGACCCACCATATAGTACGTCATTATATGATACGGTATAAATAATGATGGAAACTGGTTCATCTGTATAAATTATACATTTGAGTAATGTGCAATAACCGAAAAAGGTCTAGTAGTTCGCTACAATTGGTTTGAATGTAGCGAAATAGGAAAATCGCATTGTTTCGATACTGTCATAGCGACAAGTTAACATAATATGACTGCGCTATGAAGACGTGCTCCTGCTCCTGTGGACAAGCCGCGGCAACCCCTCCACTCCCCTCCTGAGCCCTGCGCGCAGGTGAATCCAGGGCGATCCAACAGAGCGGTACTCAGGAATATCTTTTCAGTTCTATGCAAACAATCGAGGTTGACGGACGACGTCTTGAATAATAACTATGTGCAATACGAATTTTTTCCGCCCTTGGGAACGATCTGCTCAGGCAGGTCAGCGTTCCACGGACATCGAAAATTATATGTACCAAGGCGCTATGAATGATGGAAACCCATCCTGCAGCAAAGACTTTTCGGACAGTGATACTGTCAGTACGCATGATACTGATAGTAGTAACGAGGGAAGCAATGATAGTCAGGAATACCGTCGTATTCCTAAAAGAAAGTGCCTGTCTGTTGATGCTCAACAGATTTGCATTAATGTTTATAATAGACGGTTACGTGAAATGGCTGATAGCGATAATAGTAGTGTCCTTAAAAGCCGAACTGATTAGTGTACCAATCCTACAATTTGTAAAATTATTCGTAACGGTGTCAAACCAAGAAAAATAAGAAGTGATAAGGGGAAATCTATACGTTTAAGTGCAGCAACAACTGTTAAAATAAGGGACATAGTGTATGATCATTATAAACGTAATGAAATTCCCACACCAGAGATGGTACATCGAGAATTGATGGAAAGAGGCGGGAGTTGTTCCCTGCGGACACTTCAGAGGTGGTTGCCAAAGGTCGGATTCAAATGTGGAGTTATCAACAAGAGATCTGCAATCATGGAAAGTAAGTGCATAGTGGAATGGTTACTCAGAAAATCTCAGAGCATATAGGGGAGAAGGTAGGCCAATATATTACCTGGATGAAACATGGCACGATACACATGAAACAGCAAAAAAGGGGTAGGCCAACTTATCCACAAAATGTCAGTTGAAAGGTGTACCACCAAATAAAGGATCCCACATGGTCATTCTGCATTGTGGCTCCGCAGATGGATGGGTTCAAAGTGCGCTATTGTTATCTGGCAAGAAAATAGCGGATTGCAAGCTGGACTACCATGAGAATATGGATGCCGAGATGTTTGGGGAATGGGTTTCCACTAGATTGCTGCCAAATTTGAAACATGGAAGTGTCACTGTAATGGATAATGCCAGCTACCATTCTAGACAAATTGCAAAAGTTCCTAATTCCTCGCCCTGCAAGAAAGACATTCAAGAATTTCTTGTGGAGCACGATCTGTATTTTGAGGATTCTTATACAAAAAAAAAATTGTTGGAGGTGCTCCGTAGAAAACAGTTTGAGAAAAGGTATGCGGTTGACGAAATGGCGGCCACCTTATTTTTGTATATTTAATCCCATACAGTCAACATAAATCCGACTAGTGACTGAGCCGTAGCCGTCCTAATTAGTTCAGAGACAGGCCAAATCACTGAATTATCTTGGAAGAAAACCATCGACAGAGTCCTAAAAATTGAAAATTATTGATGCCAATGATGAATCTTCGGAAGAAGATTAAGTTGTTGTAGGATATTTATTAAATAAGGAAGTGGCAAAGTGAAATGAAATATGTATTTAGGTGAATGATCTTGATGTGCATGTGGTTCCTCATCATAGAAAATTGGGTAAGTAACTTTACATCTTTGACATCGCTACCATCAGATATACATATGAATATCTTAGTTAATATTATGAATTTTTAGCTGATGGGATAATTAATTACATTAACAATCAAATTTACTTCAACAACTTGTTTCAGTCATCTCTCATCTCATCCAGACTTGCAAGAGAAAATGTTTGAAAAATTTCAGATCCGTCTCTGTCCGGTTCTCGGGTTTATAGCCGTTTTATGAATATTGACAAAAAATTTAAACGAATACAATGGGTGATATGCATAAAGGTGAGTGGGTTCTCAGAAGTAGCGACTCCATATTGTAGCGAGTAACTACTCCTTTTAGGGAGAGCCTACTCGGTTTTGATATGCATAAAATATTTATCGAGAAACGGAGAGGCTACTCAAGTTCTAATGAAATACTTGAGTAGGCACTCTGGTTTTCGAGTTCCGACTTGTATTTTGTTGTCTCGCCGAATTGGCAATTTCTCTATTGCGAGCAGTTACTACTGTATACCGGTAAACGTTTGTGTCGGTGGTGTTTAGGTCGATTATTATTTGTTCATTTACATGATATCAACCTATTCTGAAGACCATTCATCTGAACATCAAACAGTATTTGTTAATATAATTAAACATCCCGGAAATCAAAAATAAACGCCGTAAGGCGGTTGAAGAAATAAAAGAAAAGGTAGAAGCAGAATTAGGAGTTAAATATAATGAAGGAGATTTAAAACATAAAACTGGTTACTTATTAAACTTACTTATTTTAACTTTACTAAACCGATATAAGGCCCGATAGTCTACTTTCATTGATTTCCTACGATCTTTAAACACTTTCGTAGGCTGATAAATAGGCATAAATTCGGCCATTTCGTGAAGACATCCATTTCTTATAAAGCTGAGTCTACTACTAAGGTATCTCGCATTTCTTTAAGTATGTACTCAGCGGTCGGAGTGGACGCTCGCTTTTATGCATATAAAAATTAAAGTCGGCACTCAAGGAGCGAGTACAGCCTCACGGAAAGAGTAGAAACTTATGAGTGTGAGTTTCTACTTACAATTTTATGCATATCAAATGGAGTGGCTACTTTAAAAATGCGAGTCAAAAGTAGCCACTCGCTTTTATGCATATCACCCAATATCGTTGTCGCCTACTTTACCAGACAGCATTTTATACGAATTCAACGATGTAGCACATGTTTGGGTTTTTCTGTTTTTTCTATTTGTTTTAAGTAGGCGTCTTAAAATATATATAATTGTTATTATTGGGTATTGTTAATATTGCTTTATTATCGTTAAAGATGCTATACGGTCATTTTAGCAATGAAGAAATGTTCAATATGCTGACGTGCTACATTTTGAGCTACAAAAATACTAAAAATACTGCAGAAATGTATTTTGATAAATTTCTCGAAAGAAAAGAAAAAGAAAAAAGTTTATTACAAAACTCCAAGCAAAATCTACAGCCCAATTTATTTTGCGATATAGATATCGCTATAAATTCAGGATTTGCCAAGGACTTGGACCAAGAGCTAGTGAACGGTGCCAGCATTTTTGAGTGGTACACACGAACGAGTGAAGATTTTAATTTCCCTTCAAAAATAATATGGTCCGACGAGTGTATGGTCACTAATAATGATATCTTTAACCGTCTCAACGCTCATAACTAGTTTCATGAAAATCTGCGGGTAAAAAAGTATCAAGCATCAAGAACGTTTTGGATTTCATAAATATGTTGTGTGGAATATCTAGGAAACAAAATGTTAGGTTCACTTATTTCCCACAACTCATTAACTGCTCAATGGTATCTTCAATTGTTGCACCATGATCTAGAAGACTGCCTGGATAATTTACCTTTGGCACAGGTTACTAGCTGTTGATTTCAAAAAGACGGTGCTCCTGAACCTAACTCTAGGCAAGTTCGAGAGTATCTTACTCAGCGATTTCCTGGAAGGCGGTTTGGAATCTCCAGTGAAGTATCCTGGACAGCGCGTTCCATGGATTTAACTTCTCTGGACTTTTTTGTTAGGAATATTATTAAAAACCAAGTTTATCAGCGTACTTTTGAAACTCAGCAGCAGTTACGAGAATGGGTAATGGATGCATTTAGTATGATTACACCAAAAATGTTACGTGATATTTCGAATTCTACTGTTAGATCATATTTATGTTTAGAAAATAATGGAAACCTATTTTGAATAAAATAAGAATAATTTCAAAAATGAATTTCGTTATTATGGATATCACTAGATTAAGCCCGTTTAATAAAATTTTACCCCATCATGTCTTTATGTAATATGAAATATGCATCTATCAGTAATCACATAGTCTTACAACAAGCACTTGTTTGAAACGCCTGCCGGGTGTACTTTTTTCGGGATATATAATAAATTAAGTTGATACTGGTTTCTCAAAAACGAAGCGGTAGGCATAAAATTTAAAAACACCATCATCTAGTGCCTAAAAAATGACAATGAAAAAGTTCCATTCGTTTTTTGTTATTTCTTGAAATAAAGTCATAAAAGAATAAAAACGATCTGGCCAAATTTTAGTTTTTCCCAAATACCTCAGTAAGACATGGAATGTTTACAAGTTTCTCAACAGCATCCAAATACGCGCCAAAGAACGCAGCTTTTTTCTAATTTAACCTACGCTGTATCTATCACCCTTTATATCCTCGTTTATCCTCATAAAGGGTTGTCCAATAGGGACGCACGAAAGTACACGTCAATTTGACATAGACGCCATCTTTGTTGTCTGTCACCGACATGTCATTTTGTTAGTTGAATGTTTACCATTTATCGCTATGGAGTATTCGATCGAAGACCGCATTAAAGTTATTCAAGAGCACTACAAAAATGGTGCAAAAATAAAAAACACGTTTCGCGCGCTTCGTGAACATTTCGGTAGCAACAACCGCCCAAACGAAACAACCATCGGTCGTCTGGTGCACAAATTCGAGGCAACAGGTTCTGTGGCAAATCTGCCAGGCTCTGACCGGCCAAGGAGCGTTCGCACACCGGAAAATATTGCTGTTGTGAAGGAGAGTGTGAGAGACAATCAACAACGCGTCGATCCCAAGAATTGGGCATTTCGAGAACCAGTTTGCTCCGCATTCTCCACAAGGATTTGAATGTACACGCCTACAAGATCCAATTGACGCACGTGCTGCGTCGGGCCGACCATTTTTTGCGCCGAACGTCCTCAGATTGGCTCCTTGAACACCGCCAAATTGATGCCAATTTTCCATCAAAAATCATGTTCAGCTACGAAGCGCATTTCAATTTGAATCGGACGGTAAACAAGCAAAACTGCCGCATCCGGGCGAACGAAAATCCCCGTGAGTATCAAGAGCAGCCGATGCATCCTCAAAAAGTGACTGTGTGGTGTGCATTGTGGTCAAAAGGCATCATCGGACCTTACTTTTTCGAAAATGCGGCCGGGAATGCCGTTACCGTCAATTCTCAGCGATATCACGTGGATAGAGGACTATTTTTTGCCGCAACTTGAAGGAATGGATATGGACGATGTTTATTTCCAACAAGACGGTGCAACATGCCACACAACCAACGTCAATATCCATCGATTGCAGTCTTTCTTCGGTGATCGCTTGATTTCGCGCAGAGGAAATGTGCCATGGCCACCAAGATCGTGCGATTTGACTCCCTTGGACTTCTTTTTATGGGGATATTTGAAAAGCAAAGTCTACGTCAACCAACCAGCCACCCTCCAAGAACTCAAAAACAACATCATTGCCGAGATAAATGCCATAGAACCGACCATGTTGCAAAATGTCATTGAAAATTTCGACCATCGCGTGGACGTCTGTAAATCCAGTCGTGGTGAACATTTGAGCGATATTATTTTTCATACATAAATGGTATAAATGAACCTTCAAAATAAAGTACCCAACTTGATTTGAATATCAATCTTTCTTGTTTTAATATGCGTTTACTTTCCTGCGTCCGTTTTGGACAACCTCATATAGTTGGCTACACTCTATCAGAATGACTTCTCATTTGCAGGAACGTCTATGCTTACAACATTTTTAAGATTTGTAACTTGTCACCAAATTTTTTAATTTATGGCTTTGTTTCTGAATGTGCATAGATTACTGTTATGGTATTATTACATTGTATAACTTACTTGCAACTAGCTTGACACACATCTGAAGGTGCATTCAACTCCATCAATGCTTTTTCAGCTGCATGATCTAATAGTGGCAACAAAACTACTAGGAAGATCAAGATACATATAATTGATATGGGTATACAGGAGGGCCTACACCACTTGTTTTTATTTGACCACCTGAAAACAATAAAGCAATGGTGATGTTGATTGATCAAACTTCGTCCAATTACTAGACTGACATTAAAATTTATACAGGGTGTTTTCAAAAAAAAATTTCCGCTGACGATTTTCGAAATACCGCTCGTTTCGGAGATACATGCGTCATTGGATGTAGGTTTTCCTTAAATAACATTTGAACAACACTGTATAATCAGGAGAAAAATTAAAACTAAACCCAAACCAAAATGCTACCTAAAATATACTTGTTGTGTGCAGCCAGTCGTAACCTCTTCACCAATCAGGTTCGTGATGCTGTTAACTGACTAAATGACAGCTCACAAGTAGACGTCACCCACAAGAGCATACAACAGGCTGTTAGAAATAAGACATATGTCCTTCTTCATTACATTAGCTATCCTTAACTATTTCTAAGCTTTTATATGCCTCCAGTTTCCTTAGGTTTCTAACATAACCGACTAGTTTATTAAATTATTATTATTATTATCATAGTATGACCTCTATTGCATACTACTTCAAGCGTCACGTGATGATGTCGATGAATAAAAAGCTAACTCATCTACATAAGTTGTCAGGGGCAGACTAACTATACTGCAATATTGTTTGTTATATTTTTTTCACATTCTGTAAAAAATGGATCAACGTAATATTTTTGAAAATTCTGTTCATTTATCTAAAAAGTGATTTTGATTTCCATAGAATGAACCATTCTTTAAGCCGACTTGTTTTTATCCTACTCCTATTGGTTTTTACTGCAGATAATCGTAAAAATGTTGGACAAATTCTAGAACTCAAAAAAAAAACTGATATAAAATTTTTTGGGTCGAATTACCTGATTTTCAGGAAGTAGAAACCAGTATGTCGGGATAAGTGTCAGAATGAATGGAACAGTTATGAGTGGGACTGTTTTTTTTTTGAATAGGCTCATTTTCTCGAAATTATGTTTGATTGTCGTTGTGTCTAAGAAAAACAGTGACACATTTTAAAACATGCTCTGCTTCCGGCCATCTGACCAATGACAGTGAACCATGGACAGCTGTTTCATGCTTTTCGGCTACTCCTCAGCATGGTCTAGGCTTGGGTTTCTCTGACAATGAACGAAAGTAAAGCAGTATAGTTACACACTATCAAAAGTGAAATAAGACTTCGCGAAGCGTCTTCTACCACTAGAATCGACAACTGCGAAAAGTGATACCTTTTTTTAGACAATGTGTAAGATTTCCAAAAATATTATTGTTGAGCCATAATTATACAGCATGTAAAAAAATAGCAATACTGCAATGGTTTTCGCCAGAAATTTTATATGTGTCACGTTGTGCAATTTAAGATTGATTTAATATAATTATTTTAGTCCTAAAGTTACTAGTTTTAATGTTTGTCGTGCTTAATGAACAATAAACTAGTTCATATGTGAATATTTTCCGGATTTTTATTAAGTATTCCATGGACTCACGATATGATTAATCGTGGATGACCAAATCCTCAAACATTCACCATTTAACGATATGTTCAAACTAGTTGGCCATTTCATGAAATGCGACTTTATATTCATGTCGAAGTCTCGTATCACTGTCTCTTGCCGCTGTCGCGGCGCGGAACATCTTGACTGATTTGAGTCTATGTCAGTCTCGTGTTTTGGTCTGAGGCACGGTCGCCAGTCGAGGTCTTCTATTGATGTTTCAGTGCAGCATGGTATCTTAGGCTGAGCTAAATTGACTAGTTTAAGCCATGAAGTGTCAATAGAGATAAAAAAGAACAGAATTTCTTTGTGAAAAGGGCTCCTAGAACTTGAGATCTAAACATAAGCCTTGCAGATAGGCCACATAAACGGCAACAGATTTTGTCTTATCTCTCACTCAGTTTTCTTATCCCATACATCTTTTAAATAGTCATATTACCAGTAGATTTTGGATTAACCTTGAACTATTGAAGCAATTGAATTTTGTACGTTTTGACATTGATATTCAACTGATATGGGTGAGTTTAAATTGAATTAGATATTGCTAAGCATTTACCTATTAGGTGTACCATCCAGGTCAGGTGGTGATAGATATCCATGACTCCAAACATCAGCTTCGTCCTCAGGATGAACTGATGGAGGTGTCTCCAAAACTGTCTGTAAAGATATGTTCTTCTGTGTAAAATGAAAACATTCATTTACTAATTAGGAGAGGCATTCAAACGCATTATTAATATAAGGAGCATGATTAAAATTTTAAATTTGACATGATAAGAAATTCACAATCAACAACAAGGAATTAATATTAAATGTCAAATCAAAACAAGTTGAACTTCCTAAGTGTTAAAATTTAGTAAGTAAATATTCATAAAAAGTTTCCAGCACTGCATTTTGGAAAGCAAACTTCAGTCAGCATACAGTCATATGAATTGGTTATTGCCAAAGGTTCATTTAAAATATGTTGTTTAAATATGATATGATTTGTTTCAAACAGTTTTTTCAAGGAATATTCTGAACCCCTGTATTATTTTCTAGAGGAGATATTTTCCAAAATGATATGTGATTTCAACCTATTGCCCATTTGAGCTATCTTGAAGAAATAGACTAGAATAGATTAGAATATTTATAGAAAAATTTACAAAAAAGTAGATCTATGATCTGGGTTACTGAACTTCAGCTTGCGCAACAAGTGCAGTGCTTGCTATAGCGAAGGCACTTTTGAGTAGCTATATAGCATACATTTATACAAAAAAAAAAACGACTTATCCTTTTAGTCCTGGGATCTATTCTTAAAAATTTGTTTATCTGTGCAATTATAAATTAATTTTTCAACTATAACTGCAGCCATAATTATTACTATAAATACTGTAGGTATATTCAGTAAAATAAATATATTTTTGGGATCATATGTTTCCATATGATATCAAGCAATATCACGGAATAGACTATCAAATTGAATCACGGCTTATTCGTAATCCAATTGAGGTTCCTTAACACATTCACTGCCACCTTGGGCCAACACTCATGTTGCCCCAGCGGGCCAACACTCATGTTGCCTCAGCAGGCCACATTGGCCCAATAGGGCCAACATATATTTTGCCTTATCAGGCTATGTTGGTCTCATGGGGTCACCGCATTTTCTAATAGCTGCTGGGCTGTTGACGCTCATTTACCTATGTACGCCTGCAGAAATGCCTGCCTAGAAGCTATACGCCGCACATATAATTTCTTAGATTTTTCCATAATGAGGAATGTGGGCCCCGATGGGACCAACGTCTTTTTTAGATGGTGGCCCACTAGTGCTCAATGTAAAATATATGTTTGGCGTAGTGGACACATGTTAAAAAATATGTCTCGCAGCGAAAGTGTTAAATACTCGCTCCACAAAACAGTGATATGCGTAAAACACAACGTCTACATTAGAAATCTAAGAATATTTCTCAGTAAATACAAAATTAACTATACTTCATTCAAAAAACTTACTTTATTGGTAAAAATTGTCCTAATTTTCATGACAAAATTGAACACACTTCTTTGTTTACTGTTGTTACTATTTATGTCAAATGTCAAAGTCGAATTGTGAAACATGTGATACGTCATCAACCGGTTCATGCATTGTTGCCATCCCTGCTGTCAATGAATGACGACCAGTGGCAGGGGTAATGAGGTAATGCGTCAAGATAATGCCTTTGTATGTTCTTTTGAACTTTTTTGTTCTCTAGTGAAAGAACTGCACGTTGTATTCCTATGTCTTATTTCTAGAACAGTTCTGGAGCATATCAATTCAAACCAAACACCAATGGAAAGCAGCTGAGGATAAATCTGGCATAGCACTATTATGATGCGATTTCAGGTAGCAAAACGGAAGAGAGTAGCATAATAGTCCATATTCATAAAAAAAAGTTTTACCTTTTGCTTTCAAAAAATAAAACAATTCCTTCAAAGTATATGCATAAAAAGAAGTGAAGGAAAAGATCTCGCTTCTGTAAAGTAAAATGTGTTAACGTTTTCATATTTATAAAAAGAAGCATTTGCTCAAAAACTAAAGGATTTGCTTCTAACAAAAGGAATCTAGGTTACAGCAACTTTTCTCATTTTATCATTAGTTGTCCCGGCATCTTAGAGCCTGCATCTTAAAATTCGTGCATTTTCGTTTAATAAAATCTGTTTGTAAGGGCTTGTTTAAGTGATCTTTGGTTGATTAGTCGCAGTATTGTGTTAGTTATGGCTAATGTGGTGCATTTACGTACAAGAAAATACTACAAACCAAGACGTACACCTCGTGAGTCAGATTTCAAGACGTTGTTTAGATTTGAGGAGGAAAATGTGGTGTGGTTGGCAAATTACTTTCTTAGCATGGATTTCGAAACTCGTGGAGCAGCCCAGTCACCTGTGCAGAAAATGAAAATATTTCTGCGTTATTGTGCGAACAATGGATTTAAGAGCGGAATAGCTGAAGAATTGGGATGTTCGCAGCCCACAGTGTCCAGAATATTTCATGACGTGCTAGAGCGACTTGTACAACAAGCCGGAGAATTTATTAGGTTCCCAAATACAGAAAATCAAATTATGCAGGCCAAAGAGGAATGGTTGACCAGGTTCCGTTTTCCCACAGCTATTGGAGTTATCGACTGTACGCATATTCGTCTTGATGGAAAACCAGCCCAATTTGGAGACGAATATGTAAATCGAAAAGGTTATGCCAATATTAATGTACAGGTTACATGCACCAGAATTCTGTTATAACTAGTATAGAAGTTGGCCTGGATCAGTCCATGATGCTCGTATATGGAAAAATTCGGCAGTGTATGAAGTCATGAGGAAGACAAAAAACACTATTCTTCTAAGAGACAGTGAATATGGTATAATGTCATGTCTTATGACTCCTTACACCGACCCCCACGAGGAATATCAGAGAGTCTTTAATAGGCTGCTTACATCAGAGCGAGTTGTGATTGAGCATACATATGGGCAAGTAAAGCGGCGATTTCCTATCCTGAAGTATGGATGCAGAATAAAACTGTATTCCAAAAGTTATAATTGGGTGTGCGGTGTTGCATAATATAGCTAAGCAATTAATTAAGAGATGAAGATTTTCAAGAAAATGACGAAGATGAAGAACAGGACTTGTCATTTATAGAGAATGGAAATGTAGATGCTATTCGCGCACAAGGACAAAGGCGGCGAGAGGAATTAGCTCGTCTTATTACCAATAACAATATAGGTGTATAATTAGGATTAAAACTTTCATGTAATGCTATGTATATGTAGTTTACTTCAAACGTACAAAGATGTATTTACTTAAACTAAAAATAAACTTACACGTTTGAACTGGAAAAAAACGTTTAATTATTTTTTTTTTGTTATAAATGATACATATTACATATACGTCAATTTACAAGTTTTGGTGGATATTATCTCCAACAACAACATACTCTTGCGGGGCTTTTTCGTTTGATGCCTCGTTTAAATTTTTTAGCTTGGCAGAGTAATATTGTTGTTGGAGACGAGCAACTTTCAGTTGTTCAACTAAAACTAATCGTTGAAGCTGGGTTGTCGTTAACTGCCTCGTCTCGGCAGACTCTTGTTTGCCCGAAGCAAAGGTAGGCTTCGGAGGAATTTTTTTGCAGCAACCTCTTCAACCGATGTGTAGGATCGCTTTTTGTTAGCTACTACTTGAGGCATAATCATCTGATGAGCGTCGTTTTCCACCATAATTTCATCCTTTGAAGTAGGTAAAGAAGGTTGACTTGCCACGCCAATTGCAAGAGCCCCTAATAAAAATATACATGCATGATAAGTACCTACAAGGTAATAGTAAAGACCTGAATCTATTTCTCACCTGGTACCCGACTTACTACAGGATTTATCCGCATCCATAGCCTTTAACATAAATTTCTCCCAGGACAGACGAATGGGCTTGTTCCCTGTTTTATTTTTATCAGTTTTATTTTTCAGTCGCGTTTTCATATTGTTCACTTTTTTCATAAAAGCTTTAATATCCATCTCCTTGCCAAATAAAGTAACGTATTCCTTAACGATATCAGTTAATGCAGCAGTTTTCTTCTTTTTCATCGCTGGAACTTGAGATTTCTCGAGAATCTCCGGAAATGCTTGTACTTTTTCAGCGATAAACATCATCTCGTTAGGGGCATCTTCGGTAATTTCCTGTTCACTATCGGTGTCAGATATTTTAAATATTTTATTTACTTTAAAATAGCTGCACAAATAAGTTAGATGGATCTTCTTTACATCAATTGACGTGCGAACTGCTTTTAATTATGAGACAAATCAGATCAACCCCATCAGTTACAGACCACATACGCGTTGATTGCACGCTGCACGTCATATCTTCTCGAAATCGCTAATCTCCGTACCTTTTACTTTATTTTCCCGAAGCATTTGCTTGCAAGGAAGAGGTAGAGGTTATGAATACGAATTAGAGCAAAAACTTTTACTTCTACCTTTTGCTTGTACCTTTTACTTCAGAGTAAATGCTTCATTTTTATAAATACGGGCTAATATATCGTACGCTACTGCCAGAGCGGCATGCCTTTGAGTAAGTAAGTAACAAAATGGAAAAGAGAAACGGAACGTATCCTACGTCACCTGCCACTCTTTTGAATTTTTGAGAACAATGAGATACGCGCACATGAACAGAAAAGTACAATGCATCGGCAATGACATATGATAAGTTGTGCTGCTTTCTCCCATTTTTTGACTATGCAAGAACATTCTTAAAATTGTAGTAAATCTGTTATTTTTTCAAAAATCATCATCTAGATCTAGATGATGGAGGATACAATATGATGCCACAGTAGTTCCGAAACCTACCGATAATCTAGGCCTTCCAAGCACTCCCGGCTTATATTTACAATGCCTTTCCCCGATGCCTCCAGTAGACGTAGTGGGTGGTATGAGCACCAACAGCTGCTCCCTGTCCCCATCTCGGGTAGACGGTCCGGGGGTTCTGCTACGCGCTCCTGCCCCCATGCCCATGGAAGTGCCGCTTCCCAGACCCCCAGACTGCCCTCCCAGTCCGCTGGTAGACATGCTGTTGAAGTGCATGGTCCTCGAGTTGTTGCCATAGCTGATGTTGTTCGTGTTGTTCACCTGTGAAGGAATCGTATTAAGAACAATGGAATTAGTCTTTGATGGTACTGTAAAGGTGCACGCCCACTGAGGGAAAATAAAGCAAATAGAATCGAAGAAAAGGAGAGCAAAATTCTTTGGCTGGATACTACAACAGATAACAAAATGACAGCCCCCACAGATAATAAAATGACAGCCCGCACACTTGATGAGCGAGGTAGAGGAAGCGGCACGTCATACTAATGTCGCCGCGGTTTCCTTTGCATCGCTTTGCCTTAAGGGGCTTGCCACTTAATATCCAAGATGTTAAAAATCATTTATGGAAGAATCGTTACTGTAGTGCTTCCATGTTATCTAAAAATAATTTGTAAATAACAAAAAGGAGTTAAACTATTATGGTACCTTTGATAAATATCGGACGATCAGCTAAATACTTTGCCTAACGCGTTGACAGTTTAGGCGTTGATTACATTAAAGGATCCCCCACACAGATGCGGTAAGGCGATAGCGATAGATTTCAGAAATTCATTGAACAGGTTAAGAATTCAGAGAATATTTTACGATTTAAGTTACGAAGACTATAAAACTTGCAGGAAAGTGTAGGATCACATTAAACTTAGGATTTCATCAAAACAATCTGGAGTTATTTGAAAGTATACGTAAAAACGTTGTGGATCTCTACGTAATTCGGGCAATAAAGTATGATATTCTCCATTTATTCTTCTTTATTTATTGATACCATGTATCCATTTCTTCTTTTTCTTTAAACACAATTATTAATTATTATTAACTAATTATTATCATCAAAATACTTACCTTCACCTTTTATCTTCCGATAAAACCAATAATAATAATACTTCTTCTTCAGCAAAAGACATATTGCCTAAGAAATCAAAAAATGTTTAAGAATATCGTGCAGATAAGAAAACTGCCGAACCGCAGTGGTATGAACGTGCAGCTATCGCGTTAAATACGATTTTTAACGCTGACGCTACCGATATTGCTGTATCGCGTCGGTGTGGGGGGACCTTAAAGGCCGCTTCTTCAATAACTACTTGTTAACTTCCAAGTGTGGCAACTTTAACTAGTGTTTCTATTTGTTTTCCAAGTTGCGGTTAACCAACCCATAACTCTTAATTGATTGGTCAAGCTGCTAAGATAGACGCATTTTGCCTTATTTTATTTCGGAAGATTTATTTTTAGCGCTTTAAATCTCATTAAACAAGACAAAAACGATTACTGCGATGCAGAAGACATTTCCATTAAATGTTCTCCTTAATCGCCTTCATGGAAATTCTTCAGAATAAAAATTAAAATATCTCGTATCCGAAGAGTGGTGAACCTTATATGAAAAATAACCAATTACTAAAAATCAGCTTTTACGATGCGGTCAATTTTTTATACAAATTCACATACTCTAAAAAAATATCTTGGCTAGTTCTTTCTGAAGCTGATCGCTTTCTAGTTACATATTTAATGACATTCTAAAAGCCGTAAATAATGATCATGCTATTTTTGAACGAATGTGACTTTTAATTTTTACCCTCCCAAACGTCATAGTAAAGATCATATTGTAGTTCTTTTCTGAAAAGCTTATTCTCGTTATTCTGGATTATTCAAGTTTAAAAATAACAATCTGAAACATGTTAAAGTTACAGATATATGACTAAAAAAATCCAAAAATGGGTATCGTAAACTTCATAGACTCTTCGTCGTCAGATAGATGATATCATGTCATCCTTTTTAAGTGTCTCGTTGCTTGTAGTTTTTTAATCACAATGAAGATTTCAGAAAAAAAAACCGGATATATATATACCGTTTTTTTATAATCCAACTACCACGAAGGCCTAAGGCCTAAACATCCATTGGGTACCGTGGGGCACACATTCTGGCTCCGCCTACGAGATCGCCGGGTGGTACCTCCGCGATCCGTTAAACAGTAAAGAATCACTATAGAGAGAAAGGTAAATTTCTATTTAACGCCTCTAATCGACAAATGCGAAAGGTGTCTTAGTCTAGCAAGAATCGTGTGTATTTGACTCTTAAATAACAATAAAGGTACGTTTCTATCACAACAAGCTCATATGTGCCTTTAACGTGTTTAAATGGAAACGTACCTCAGCATACACTAATGTGCGGTGCACGCTGGAGAATCTTCTTTCCTGAAACCATTTTTATAAGTTTCTCATATTGAACAAGTGAGATAACTCAAAACTATACGTTTGATGAAACGTAATGAAATAGGTTTCACGGAACTTATAAACTTGCAAGAATCCAATCTAATCCAATTTGCCGGAAATGTATTCAATGGAAATTGATGATTAGTTACTGCAAAGTATGTTGAGTCAGGCGAGCCAGATCTTCCTGATTTGCCAGACATTAAATTGTATTCAAAACATATGCGTATGCATATTGCTTCAAATTGTAAAATACACCAAAATGTTTACGTAAGCATGGAAGGGGGTACGAGATTTGCTTACTTTTGTTAACAAGGTTAGGGGGAGGATGATAATTGTAAAAAATCTTCATACGCAATACTTGTTGATGTGAGAGGAAAAATGTTCTTTGAGAGAAATTCAATAAACATCCCTTTATCATATTCCGTTCTTTACATTTTTTTTTCTCAAAATTCAGATTCAACTAGTTGTTTGAATCTTGTTTTACTAAAGCGATTCCTCCAGTGTGCATTGTAACAAAAAGCTACAGTTAATTTTTATTTGTCATTTCATACCCCTACCTGTACAAGCAAGCTACAAGTTTGCGAGGCAATCTGGAACAGACCGTCTTGTAGATTCCGTGGCGGTTTGTGCGATCTCCCAAAGTCCCAGAAGTGCGGCATGACCTTAATGAATGAATTACAGAACTTATACACTTTATTCCATATTTGATATTAAGTTAATTGTCCCTTGTCAATATTGCCTACACTCTTCCCGATGAATACGATAAAACTATCTTTGGAACGTTCTTTACTAATTTTATTACGTCGATACAGTAGCGTGTTAATACATAGCGTAATCGGCTTTGTTGGAGAACATGCATTATTAATCCCAAGCTATCTGAGGAGGAGAAAATGAGGGTTTATTTCACAGGATCTACCCTTGACCCTTCGCATTCGTTCAATTGCTGGTACTGAGTCTTTATCCATCAATTTTTTGGAGCATACGCAAATTGGTTGTCAATAATCCTAGGAATGGGTCATCCGAATCGAATGCAAAATAATGTCTTGAATTTGGGTCACCGTAACTCTACTTTGAATCATGATTAATACGCTTTTATTATCTTGACCTGTATGTATGTAACTTAATCTTTCAAACTAATATTCACCAATCTCAGTAAGTCTGATTAACTTGAAAATTTACAAGGCGTCAAGGGTTAATGACACAATAATGTTGAAAAACATCGAAATTGATTTGTTTTTAATTTTAAAATGTGCAAAAAAATTAAAATGAAACAACAATGGGAAAATTCTGAGATTTGTACAAAAAATTAAGGATTTGGAAATATTGAATAGAATTTGTAAATTTTTTTGAAAAATTTGAAAATTTTCAACTTTGAAAAGATTTGGAAGTAAATTTCGATTTATCGACAAATATAAAATAGGTATACCGAAAAATGTAAGTGCTTTTGCTGTCATTTTGATATTAAAAATTCTGAATATAAATTATAGTTAAAAAAACACGCTTTAATAGCGAATAGAAGTAAAAAAAAAGAAAACAATTTTCAAGTATAGGAGAGTGTGACTAACTAATTTGAAATAAGATCAATATAAGAATTAAGATATTAACAAAAAAATCAATTATCGTGAAAAATCTTAGGGTGCAAATCACTATAAATTGAAACAAGATCAATTTTATATTGATCTTACTCCAAATTAATTAGTCATACTCTCCTAAACTTTATTTAATTATTTTCTACTTTTTAGTTGGATTTGCTCTTCAAGCGTTTTTTAGTTTTTTAAACTATATTCGTAATTTATTCATGCATAAGTTTCACTTTATTGGAGTGTGAACTGTCATGATTCTCAATTCTAAAATTTACATCCGTTAATATGTAATGGATATTATATTGAAACTACTCGATTGAAGGTTGTAAAAAAACTTAACTATTACTTTTTACTATAGAATTGTCTAGATTTTTCTTCTTCTTCCTACTTTATGAATAGGCTCATGCCTGTTTTACTTCGGTTTTTAGCCTCAATTGATGTTGTCTGACCATCTTTTCCTCGGTCGTCTCATTGATCTAGATTTTTATACATAGAAAATAAAACTCTGAACAAAAAGGGTACAGTTTGTATACATGGGAATAGCTCTGCGACAAAAATATCTACAAGAAGCCATCTGTACAGTTATATGAAAGAGAGTTCGCAGATGAACATTAATATTTTATCAGTATATGGTGTTGTCAAAGCATGGTGCAAACGTCGATTCTTTTGACTATATTAAGACTTTATCTGTTAACCTCTTCGTTTTGAAGATATGCAGCGACATGAATTTTTGAGATTTTGTTATTGTACTATCGAAATTGCCCAGATATTTGAGCCTAGCATACAAGACGCCGTTTTCCTCATCAAAGACTTCCGAAATCAGGATCATTGCATATTCAGTTACATGCACACATCTATGAAAATTTTTCATTTAAATATCTTAGAACGTGTATATTTCCATCTTCCATAAATATTTTTCTTTTTACTCCAGTACTTGTTTGTTTTTTAAAAGCCCAAATATCACAATCTTCATTTGTCCAAAATTCACATATTTTTGAATATTTGACTCAAGGGTTTTTATATAAGGCATTGGAACATCACCTTCACTTTATATCTCTGAAAAAACTCACTGAGACACAAAACATATACGGGTTACTGGTAGCTCCCGTATTTCTACCAAGGCGGGATCTAAAATGCAAAATAATTACGGTAATAGCATGTTCAGAAGTCAATAGTTTTCGAGATTTTTCAATTTTTATGATTCCTTAACAATCACTTGGAATTGAGCATCTGAATCTAAATGATAAAAAACTATGTAATAAATAAATAAACATTTCAATCACGTTTTGTAGTTCGTGCTTGAATTGAGCTCACATATTACACGCAAAAAATAACACATATTCTGAAAAAGAAAAAGGTTATCGATTTCAGCTTCACTTAGACCTTTCCAAAAAGGTATCAAATATTGTTATAAAAGCGTTTTATTGTTTACAAACAGTCAATCAAACCAATTGACTTCAAATAATTAACTAAATGATATATTTTTCATTGATATTTCGAGTGTAACAATTTTTCAAAAATCTTAGTTGCGGTAGATGTCTCCATTCTGTATAGTTCCTGCTTTTGATACATTTGTTGTAAAGGGACCCACGGTTATTTTGCTTTAATTACCATGTGATGAAGATGTTGCTCTAGTATAACAAATTCTCTGAAGTCTTAAGCTATGTACAGATATGTAACAACACCGCGAACCGAACTACGCGACGAACCGCACCGCGCTAGTGTAGACGGTGAAAAAAACGCCGTCGCGAACCTGCGTTACAGCTCGCTGCTCGGCCCGATCCAGACTCTGTCGGTTTTTCAGCGTAACATCAAAGGAAAGGCTCGCGACGAAGTTGCACATGTTTGGACAGGGATGCGGCGAGCACGCGCTCATATCAGTAAATGGATAGAGCCCGTGAAGAAAAGATAGAATGGTCGGAGGAAAAAACTCTTTTACTTATAGAGCAGGGGAATTGTTGTGGAATGCAAAAAATATCCTGCATTACAATAAATTAAAAAAAATGATGAACATCAAGATTGGATCGTCATTTTGTTGCGCGATGTGGTTGCACGACGTGGTTCGGTTTGTGGTGATGCTCGTTGCAATGTTGTTCGTCAAAATGAGCGCGCTGCGGTTCGTCGCGAGGTTCGGTTCGCGGTGTTGTTACATATCTGTACATGGCTTAACTGTCCGTGTCACATGCTTACGATATGTTACTTAATAGCTCTACAATGATCAGCGATTCCAGTCCGGTGATTGCGTCTTATATGGGTTTGGGGGAACTACGAGTACATATCGAAAACACATGACACAGGCTCTGATCAGGCGTCAGAAAATGCATTATACTGGAGCAATTAATTAAGCGAATAGTTAACGTGGCAAAACAATTGAGGAACACTTATACCACAAAGGTGACAAAAGCAGGAGCCAGAATATGAGTGCAGATCGAGATCTCTATTTACAACTAAGAGGCACTGATTGAGCACGATTGTTAATATCATTATCATCATTATTTGCATAAAGTGGATTTATTGGCTGTTTGTTAAGAATTAGCCATTTCTATACTAATGTTTAATAACTTTTTAGATAGCTGACTATGCAGGCAAGTATGTTTAGCAATATGTACGTTCGGTGTACTAGCAACTTTTTGGAATATGTAGGTGTTAGTTTATTGTGTGTAGTATTTTTGCACCTTTTAGGATCGTTTTATTAACTTAAACTTTAATTATAGATTACGAAAAAATGGAATTGTCACTCATTTCTTACATAATTTTTTGTTATTTAGACTCAAATACCTGGTTTCGGGCAATTACTAGATACAGAAAAAATAAAAAATTTCAAAACCTATTGATTTTCGACCATGATATACAGACTGAAACAAGTCAGGTCCCCTGGAAGGAATATGGCGAATTACCAGAAACCCCGTATGAGAATACGTGCTGTTCGTTGCTCTAGTGCGCTCACATTAAAAACAAAAGTGGAAGTCTCATTATAGACTATAATCGTGCGTTCATTTGTTTTAACTTTTATTTTTAATGTGGACGCAACGGAGCAACCATATTATTATACAGTGCATTTCAAAAAGGTCCCCTCCACTTTATCTTTTGTACGGGTAAAGTTAGCGAGCTGAAGTTCTGGATGATGAAGTTGATGGAATTTTAGCGTAAATGTGAAACTGAAACTTCCAAGATGAAAGCTGGGCGCTATTTTGGGCATTTTTTAAATGGAATGGAGGATTACATACGTGATATCGCATTATACCTGTACGTCATTATAACTAGATTATAAATTTACCATCTTTCAAAATGGTGGACTCACGGGCTGCTGAAGTTCAGTGTTTGTACAGTGAATCGCTTATAACTCAACAACGGATTGTGAAAATGCTATAGGACGTTATATCCATCTTCTTTTTTCGGAAGGGTCTATCTAAATGTGCAATAAAATGTGCAACATTCTGTTCAAAGGATCGGACCGACTTAAACATCATTTTTTAAATGGAATATTTAATTTTTATTGCACATCTGGATATATTCTTCCAAACAAGAAGATTGATATAACATAGGTACTTATAGCGTTTTGATGGTGTTGAGTTATATGCAATTCAACGTATAATAACGCCCAACTTTGACAGCCCGCAAATTTTGGAAGATGATCAATTTATACTCTCGAGTTATAAAGTACTCAGAAGCAGCCTTAAAATAAGGTATCACATGGCCCTACATTCCATTTAAAAAAATTGTCTAAGATGGCGCCCTGTCGCCTATGTAAATACGGATGCAATCATTTTGTCATCCCGAAGCTCAGCTTGCTAACTAAATCCGTTAAAAAAAAAATAGGGATGGGGGCTTCTTTCTAAGCACTGCATACGTGTTGTACTTAGAACGATTTAATATAGATTAGAAGTAGAAAGTGTTGCGACTATGCGCTCATTTAAAAGTACTAAGTTAAATATTCTAAAAAGGGTGGCTTTTTTATAAAGATGCCAGAAATGCGAACTTTTGGCTTTTAAAAACAATCTAGTACTAAAATAGAAAGCTAAATGTTGATGACAGCTCAAAATACATTTTCTCTAAAATATTTAAATGCAAATATTTTAAGGTCCAAAAACCCCGCTTATTGAGCCTGATCCTTTCAAAAACATACGCGTACTATGATTTTTCACCTAAATGTTATAAGGTATAAGAAAAATTGTTATAATGTAAAGATGATCGCAAACAATAATAAATAAACACATTTGTGGTGAGACTGGTAAGGACAAATGAAGGGTTCCTAATCAAAAAGGCTTGTCATACATTTTTGAGCTCTTTCAAATACACCACGATCTTATTGAGCTATATCAAGCAACTTCAGTAAGCCCGATGGTATTTTCTTTTCGTCAGAAAATAATTAGGTTAGTGTTGAAAGACTTATATATGACTAATTCGATTTCCCGACTAAAACTCTTAAGGTTAATTCCAACACAACCCCGGTGGAAAATCTGAGAAATTGAACAATTGTTGGTCACACCCTCGTGTATTTAAATGAGTTCAATAATCAGTAAGGAGAATATTACAGATTCAAATCCTAGCTGAAGAAGCGTGTATGATTCTTAGTTAAAATATTGCAGTTTATAAAGATTTTGTTCGCCCTCTATCTTCAAACTAAACTTATAGGATACTTCAAAGAATTACCTATTGAATTTTTGCCCGATATTTAGGAAACTAAGTATATTTATACATATGTATGTTAGACGTGACATATACTCGTATATCAATCAGTTCTGATAATTGGTTATTGTCACACAGTCTACCGGTTGTAATGATAAACTGGTAATCTGAAATCCAAATGGTCTAGTGATTTCGATATGATCTTTTTTAAACATATAACACTATTATTCAAACACGAAAGTATCAGCCATTTGGGCTGTAAAGCCCTAAAGCGGCCCCTAGACGATCAATATTATCCTCAATATATTGCACAATAACTCATATTGTACAATAATATTGACCGTCTGTAGATCACATTGAAATATTGCGTCGTCTGTGGGCAATATTGTGCAATACTGGTTCAGTTCTGTCTTATCAAACATTGTGATGCGATAAAGGATGACGGCAAAGGAAAAGAAGAAGAAATAAAGTTTGCCTTAGAATGTATCGGTCCTTACCAGCTCTGTAGAATGTCAAGAGTAAAGTCTACAGCAACAGAAATCAAAAAAATGAACAGTACAATCAAATGCTCTGTAAATATAGAGAATTCTATCCAGATGCTGCTAAGTCGCAATTAAGTAGTTAAAAAATTCAATATCAAAACGCACTAACTTCAGAAAGGAGGTAAACCGTATCTGGGAGACTAAAAAAGTGGTGCTGGGACGCACGATATAATAGAACCGACATTATTTTGTTGGTAAACGCTGACTTGGAGGTATAGCGTCTAACATCATTGTATCCCTTTTTTTAATTTCAGGTGTAACCATTCTTAAAAATTCACCAAAGACTGTACTATCTAGTCGCAGAAAGTTTTGAAAATCTAATTCTTAATTCATTTAACAAATTTTCATGATTGTACTTATTTCTTTTTTTGAACCATTCCTTCATCCACCTGCGCTTTCGTTTTTTCTTCCTTTTTGAAGATAAAACTAATGCAATGGCCACATAACTCCTTCTTTTTTGTTAATCCACATGTTGACTGCAAAAATGTCAACCGATAACATTTATTGGGTTGTTCTACTAATAATATTGTAAAATATATCGTGCAATATATTGACAATAATATTGATCGTCTAGGGGCCGCATAACGAATAAAAAACGTACTTACCTCAAATGCGTATACTTTTTACCCTGGATCGAACATTTGCGTCGTATTTGTAGCACTTCCTCCACCAATATTCCAGTTCGTACTAACATCAGTGTCTGATGGTCTAGTATCCTGGCATTAACCCCGACCCCATTGATTGCCGTCGCGGGACGGCTCGACGCTATGCGCCGCTTACCAGTGGCGTTCGTCATAGATATTTAGGATACCAGTTGTTATCGTCAGTGTTATGTGGCCCCTAAACCAGCTACACAATTGCGAAATATTTTTTGTACAAATAGTCTGCTGTACATACATACGTATTTGGGGAGGCTTATTACGTAGTTTGAACTCAAATGATGAAATCATGTTTTGGCATCAAAACAGTTTTCCAGTGACAGTTTTTCCTTAAATTAAGATCATCTTTTGACTCGTACACCTAGAGAGTAATTTTTTTAAATAATTTAATCAATCTCTAGGGTGTTTTGGCCGTCAAGTAAAACCACAGATATGTGAGTTAAAAACTATTAACATTCTCGGCCTTCACTTTGACAAAAGCCACCTAGTTAGTGAATTTTTCGAAGAAATAACGTTCACTTATAGGTCCTTCGATTTTCAGAACACACATTTTCTTTCTCGGTATGGTAGTATCTAGTATTCCTGCCTCCACAGCTGATCAAAATCTAAGCAGAATTATAGTTTCCAAGTTAACAGCGGACAAGTATTACAGGACAGATAACAGAAGACAGGCAGACCGGCATCATTAAGTGACATGATGCACCTATACACCGAGAACCAAATTTGTCTGACGGCTCGAGTTCAATGTGTACGAGAGAGAAGTGTGTATAGACTCATATGTTAGAAGGAGATAAAAGCCGACTGGATAACGAAGCTCATCACCGCCTTGATTAGCAACGCGGACACGGCAATCTGCCGCGTTGCCAATATGTTACACAACTTCCTTGAATATGATGCATGTTGAAACTATGCGTTAGTTTATTCTCTACGCCCAAATAATGGGTTTATTTTGAGCTTACACATTTTTGAATTGCGAATTGTGTAGAATCGGCTTAGAATGGATTCCAGATCTGTCCTAACGGCGCTCCATTTTATGTCGAAATAAAAGGCCAGGATCGCCACAAATTCTGGAACATCATTGTTCATTTTGGCAACACCGAATCTCGTACATTCCAAGGCAAGGCATCCACGTCCATGATCATAGATGAGCAATTTTGGTGGTAGTAGCGTTTATTGTGGAGCGTCGTCCTGCTTTGAAATGGGTTTCATCTGCGTACACGCAGGCAGTGATGATTTGTATTGAGTAATGGTATTAGTTACATTTTGCGACCGCTCGCTGTCGACAATGTCATAATTGTCAGGATATGTTGATTTTATCACCATCGGAGGAAATCAAAGTAAATTCTACAATAAATTAGAGCATTAAGTTGCATCGATATTCGAAATAAGTAATTCTAATCGAAAAGAAAACAAAATTTTAAATTGAATGTTCAAACAGACCTCTTTCTTGCGTTTGACAGTAACTTAACCTATTGCTAACATGCGAACATATTCTAGTGTAACATATTGGAAACGCTACAGAGATTGCACGACCTTCGCTTTTCTGCCAGCTTCTATCTCTTTCTGGCATATATTGATTCACACTTCTCACGCCTCTCTCTCGTACACTTTTAACTCAAGCCGTCAGACAAATTTAGATTTTCCTGTATATGTATTCAAAATACATGATATTCTGACCTTGAAATTTTTCGCAAATTAGAATACCTCCTTGCCAATTAGCGTGGCAAGTAAAAAAATAAGCGAGATACTCGAATACTCGGAAGAGATCATTTTCTCATGGAAAAGTTAAAATTCTTCAGACAGCCTGTCAGCACATAGTATTTAATATAGCGACGTGTTATTTTTTGCTAAAACTCCATTTTGATACGCATATGATACATAAAATTAATGTTTGATTGATTACAAACACACTTTCGGAGTGCAAATTTGCCATGTTCTTAGTCTGGATATGGACTGGATAAATGTGAGTGACAGGCGAGGCATGCGAAACTGACATTGTATACCTATGTTTTGATTTGCTTCGTTTTTAGTGTTGATAAACCAAACTGGACCTGAGAGTTTGATACCAAAGCCTAATCAATATTCCTAGTAGATGTGGATTTTTTGTTCTTGATCCATGGATGAGTCCATCTACTCATGTAATGACAATTATGGGCATAGCATACCACACTGAGAACTGTTTTTCTGGAAAATTTTCATTACCCGAAATAAATTAATGTTTTAATTGTTCTAAGTAACTGAATTATTCGGATTAATTAGACTGAATATTCGGGAAGAAGTTTGATTCTAACTAGCAAACCAGGTAGGTACCTGTTTTATTAAACTGTTTAATTAGTGTATGTAGAAATGTATACCAATTTAAAACAATTAAAAATTTTAATATAATCAAACAAGCTGTAAATCGCGGACTCGGCAGGACTCGGTCCTTCTTTGGTGACAGTAGCAGTGCCGGTAACGCGCTTCTAACTTCTCAGTTTCGTTTGTGGAGGAGCAGGTTCATATTCGAGTGTTGTGAAGTTGATCAATTATGGTGATCAAGTGGAATACTCGAGCATAAGGAGTTTAGTGACAGATAACCATGGTTAGAATATTTCTTGATCTCAATCAAACACTCTGTATAGGGGAGTCACTGGGTCACTGCTGACGTGACGGAACGAAGCACTTTGAAATTTTATTTATGAAACCGTATTTAATCAACGATGCATTTATACCAAACATATGCTTAATATAGGTTTGACATGCTTTCGTTTTATACTGTATGTATAGGATGTGGAGTCTCCTGTTGGTGCAGACTTTGTAGTATTTAAAAATATCCTAGTTTGTTTAAAGCGATGTCGAATTTATATGCAAATGCGCTGAATGCGGGTGAGTGCAATAAAGTTTTATTATTAGAAATAAAGGTACAATCCTTGTACACATGATGAACTCTCCTTATTCAGTTTCAAGTATCACTCCTCCTACTTTCTGAATTTAAAACGACAGAATTGCTTCTAGTGAAATGTGATATAAAATATCGAATTTTGTTAGGGTTACAAAATTTAAAAGTTTTTATTTTGATTCGAAAACATCAATTATTAATATCAATATCCGTATTTTTTATATCTAAGATTTTTCAGAGCAATTATAATACAAATCACTCCGTAAAATGCAATTTGTTATTTTAAAATTGCCAAATATTATCAAAATATCCTCTTAAATCTAAATAAAATAATTTATTATGTCTAGGAAAATATTTTTACCTCAGCTAATTAAACAAATTTAATAAATATAATTAAATTGTTTTACTTGGAGCAGGTCTACTCAGTTTAATAGTTCATTAATTTTAAATAAATTGATGTACTCTGAGTGAACAAATATAATTAAACGATTGCATTTTGGCTTAATTAAGCTAGTGTCATAGATTCAAATAAATTCTTTCAATAATAATAATAATAATAATACAAGGTCTTTATTGGAATATAAATATACATAACATTTTATTCCTGATAGGTGGAAACTAGATAAATCTATTCCACTCAACCTACTCCAATAACAATATCGGTAACTATGGAGAATATTGCAACATGCTTGTATTGCGTACACGTACAAGAAATACACATTAAAAAATTCTAAAAATATTTTAGAGAAAGAAGATACTATGAAATTAAACCACAGTAAATGAATGAACAAAAAAAACAGTAAGATAAAGATTAAGAATAGACTGAAACAATCTCAAAAAGAAACGCTAACGATGTAGAAGAAGCTCTTTGGCTTGTTTTTCATACTATTTACCGACAGAGTTTTCAAATATTCACTAACATCACTGTATATTTTGATGGAGTTATGAATAAATGACCGACGGAAAAATGTAAAGTAGTACTGTAAAGAGGGATTTCTATGCGATTCTTAAATCTGAAGTTGAAATCTGTCCTACTACGGCGGGCTAAATACTTTTTATAAAGATAAGAAGGGGATTGAGAAAATCAATATTTTATGGGTAAAAGTGAACATTTGATATTTGGAAGTTTGGTCCACACATAACCAACCCAGCTCACTAATGTAACATGAAATATGATCATACTGCTTTAAACTAAAAACAAATCTACAACTGTTTTGCAGTCTTTGCATTCTGTTTTTTAGTGGTAGCATCAAGGCACAAGTAATAAACTACACAGCAGTAAGAGCGTATAGTAAAGATTAGCGTTACATAATGATTTTTTCCTAGTTTTAAATATATATATATATACGAGTATATTAGAATAAAGGCGTTTATCAATATAACCTTTTTTCAAAATATTAGCAACATGTTCCTCAAATTGTTCATGTTCATCAAATATTAATCCTAAATTATTTGCTTTGTCCAGCACAGGAAGAGTTATTCCATTAATCTGTATATTTAAGGACTGGTATAAAGTTTAGAAAAAACAGAATGAGATTACATTCATCAGGATTCAATTTAAGTTTATTACCTTTAGATATCTCACAATTTCTTCAAGATCCATATTAATTTCTCGAGCTGCTTGATGTGTAAATTCGGGGCTAAATGCAATTGCGCATTAAAGTTACTAGAGAAGAGACAGATATAGCCGTATGAATTCCAGCTGTGTTCAGTAAAAATAATATTGGACCAAGTACTGAGCCTTGAGGAACACCAGATGTAACAAGGCAAGGATTAGCGTATTGGTTATCCAAGTGCACCACTTTCTGACGTTCATACAGATATGTTTCAAAGAAATTTAATGCTGTATTATTGAAGCCATAGTAAGATAATTTATAACATAAAAGTGAGTGGTCTATGGTATCGAAGGTTTTTGAGAAATCTAAAATGAGAGAAGAAACTTTACCATCATCTTGTTCCTTGATAATCATCTGAGAGATGAGCCGAAGCTGTTGTAGTACTATAAATCGCTCTAAATCCCGATTGGCATTCAGGGAGAATATAATTGGCCATAAAATAATCACAATTTGAGTTTTAACTGATTTCTCTAAAATTTTCGAAACTACATGTATATGGACGATTGACCTAAGATCTGAAAATTTTTGAGGTTCATTAACTTCCGGCAGATGTTCCACTGTAGAAAGCTTCCATGCACTTGGAAAATGCCCAACTTCTAAACAGCAGTTAATAAGATGAGTAATTGGAAATGCCAAATTGGGAAGGCAAAGCTTGAGCATATCAGCTGAGATGTAGTCTCTACCAGCTGCATTCGATTTATTGGACATCAAAATGTCAATTGCAGCCTCTTCGGATATACAGTAATGGACAAAAGTATATAGACAAATTAATATTGTGCTGTATTTCTTTTTTAACTTGTTTTATTAATACACCAACCTGTATACGTAATTCTTTATAGCATAATACTCACTTATAGATAAATAAATTCATTAGACTCCCTTCAATAAAAAATTAATTGAAAAAAACTGGAACTATGAAGGACAAAAATATATTGACAAAGCAAAACAATTATAGAAAAAAGAAGCAAAGTTCATTGAATTATAGAAAACCAACCATGTTTGTGTTAATAGTTTGTAGCATAACCATTATTATCAATCACCGCTTGGCATCGTCTAGGCATAGACTGTAGAAGTTTCTTGATATAAGATTCATCAATCTGTCTCCACTTTTGCTCTAAAGCGGCAAAAATTTCATCCTTGTTTGAATAATTTTTATCTCGTATATGCTTATCTATGTATTCCCATATATTTTCAATGGGGTTTATATCGGGAGACTGTGAAGGCCATTTCAGAATTGGTATTTTTTCATCCAGAAAGAATTTCTTTGCGAGATTTGAAGTGTGCTTCGGGTCATTATCTTGCTGAAAGATTGATCTGAAGGGCATATTGTCTTCCATATAGGCTAACATGACATGCTTTAGTTTGTCTGTGAATACAAACTTAGGTATTCATAATGCCATCTATTCTATGTAAAGGTCCCATCCAACCCCGAAAAGCAATCCATAACAGACCCGCCTCCATATTTGACAGTGGGCAAAGTGTACTTGGGGTTCAATCTTTGTCCACTAGGACGTCTAACCTAATCAACACCATCTGATCCAAACATATATTGAAGTTGGATTCGTCACTGAAACATACCCCCTTCCAGTCTCACAGATGCTCCAATCAAGATGCAACCGTGCAAATTGTAATCGGTCCTTACGGTTTTTCCTCGAGATTATCGACTTCTCACTTGGGCGACGTGCAAATAACTTCAAATCATTTAATCTTCTACTTATAGTTTTCGTAGAAACACTGGCAATTCCTTTTGTCTCGATTTCGGCTTTTATTTGTCTTGGGGTTTAAACGGATGTTTGGACGAAATTACTTTTATTAATCTAACTGATCTAGCATGTAGTTTTCTAGGTCGACCACTTCTTTTAGAGGCTTCCAACATACATTTTTGTTTATATTTGTTCAATATTGCCCAAACTGCTTTACGCTTCAGCTTTAAATTTTTGAGCAATGAAGTATGAATTCGTTTTCTAAAGGTATTTAGGTAAATATTCATATTTGTCTATATACTTTTATCCATTACTGTAGGTCTAAACTCAAAACGACAATTTTCCGTACATATCGAAGACCTAAAAGCAGCATCTGTATCGGACAACTGTTTGGAGGAGTAAACACAGATGAAAAGTAATTGATAGAGTTAACACTTTATCAGTTAACATTCTTCAAGTAGTCTGGAATTTTTATGCTGGTATTAGAATTGATGCCAACGGAATTAATGGCCTTCCAGATATCTCTAGTATTCGACTGCGAAGCATGGAATGACAAAAAAAATAGTTCTTGCCAAACTGCATCAAGAACAGTGTTTCTTAAGTCACGGTAATGATACAAGCCTTTTATGTTACGGGTTTGTTATTAGGTCTGGAGAGCCGCATAGCGTTTTTTCATCAAAAGTCTGTCATTTGGAGTCAACCATGAAGCATAAGGCTTCGTAACACGTGCCAATTTTATTGCAGCATGAATTTCAAAAACATTTATGATGTTTGTTGTTCTCTATATTGTTCATATAGTAAATTGGACTTCACTCTATCTTAGGTCGCAAATAAAATCAGTTCTTGAAAAAATGTTTAAAGACCCTGGACAGCCAGATACAAATTGATCTAATTAAAATTTTAATTGGTTTAATTAAACTTTTTTGTCAGTGTAACACCACATAGTAAACTTAGATTTTTTTATCTTCCTGTATGTGTCCTGCAGGAGTGATCATCTGACAAAATATATTTTAGCGTAAGTTATCGGCTTCAACCAGCGAATTCGAATAGATTAGAAGGCCAAGCCTTTATATGTTTACATGACATTGTTTATCGCTAAAGTTGC